GTAAATTGTAAGGAATTTAATTTTATCAATAAATAACATCGTTATTAAGTATGATAATCAAGTTTTATTCAACATACCTATAGTTTAGCTAGGACTTAGAACTTTAAGTTACTTTTAGGGAACTTATGAGAAAGGTATGCTGAGATGGTTTGGACAGACAGAGAGGATGAATGAAAGGAGGTAGACGGAACAAGTATACGAGTGTGGATGGGAGAGTTGGAAGGGGTCGACCTCAATGAACGTACCTCAATCAGATTGAGGATGTTTTTAGCAAAGGTCGGCTTAGGAGTACCCTAATTAAGTTAATATTAATGTACCTGCCTATATAGTTTAAGTTAAAAAAAAAATTGGCTCTTAAAAGAAATTTCAGCTGAAACTGGTTTGGCTCAGTGGATAGAGCGTCGGCCTGTGGACTGAAAGGTCCCGGGTTCGATTCCGGTCAAGGACATGTACCTTGATTGCGGGCACATCCCCAGTAGATGTGCAGGAGGCAGCTGATCGATGATTCTCATCGATGTTTCTAACTCTCTGTCCCTCTCCCTTCCTCTCTGTAAAAAATCAATAAAATATATTAAAAATAAAAATAAAAATGAAAAAATGGTATTTAAAAAAGAAAGAAAGAAAGAAAGAAAGAAAGAAGAAAGAAATTTCAATCGTTGTACTGTTGACATTTGGCTCTGTTGAGTAATGAGTGTGCCGACCACTGCTATAGAGGCTGGGTCAGCAGAGAAGACCAGGAGGAGAGGGGTCTCATAGTTATCTGTCTCTCTTGACGGCCCCAAACCCTGTGTATTAGGACTAAGCCTCTCCCTGGCTTCCTGCAGCCTCCCTTCCCTCAGGAGCAGCCTGGAGTCGCAGGGCAAGGCTTGGTTTCAGTGAAGGCTCCGGCCTCTCCCTCGGGAGAAAGCGCATGTGCTCACTCTTTCCAGTGGTCTTTCCGTCTGATTTCATGGATATATCGGGGCCGATGACACATGAGCATGGCATCTTTCTTTTGCTTCTTGAGTAAATGTCCTCCTATTCACAGCTGTCCCAGGCAGGGGGTGGGGGTGTGGGAGAGGGACACACCCTGGGTTTTACAAAGTTACTCGGTGGGTCCCGGGAAGGTCTGCACCTGCTCAGACTTGATCGGGAGCTCTAGTCTAGACAAGCGTGGGAGACAGTCTTTCGATCGCTACTCCCTCCCGCGGAGCACACCGCACAGGCCTCACAGCTTGCTGCTGGTTGACACTGTCTCTCTCTGTCTATCCAGTCTTCTCCTCAGTCCTTGCAACTGGCCAGCAATTCTTTGTCTTTCCCTTTCTCTTCCCACCTCTGTGTAATTGCTAAGCAGTAAACTTTTTCTAACTAGTAGTTCCTTTAACCCAGTAACAGAGTTTCTAATCCCTCCCTCTCCCCTGTACAGCCAGTTATTTTATACACTTTTCAACACAGTATTTGAAGTCGGAAGGCAAGAGAACATGAATAGGATTGTAGGAAAAAACAAAAGACCTCGCCCTAGCCGGTTTAGCTCAGTGAATAAAACATCGGCCTGCGGATTGAAGGAACCCAGGTTCGATTCCGGTCAAGGGCATATACCTTGGTTGTGGGCACATCCTCAGTAGAAGGTGTGCAAGAGGCAGCTGATCAATGTTTCTCTCCCATCAATGTTTCTAACTCTCTATCCCTCTCCCTTCCTCTCTGTAAAAAAAAAAATCAATAAAATATACTAAAAAAAAAGGAGAAAGGAACTGAGTCATTAAAAAGTGACCAAATGAATTTAGGCTTTCAAAATGATGTGACCATATCATATGTTATCTCTCCAGTGTGGGCTTCTCACCAATAGCTGTCATTCCATTTTGGTGAATATTTCTTATGTATTTGATTTTATGTTAGTTCTATATCTACCATATGCCTTCATTTCTTGTCCTAGGCACCTGGTACTTTGCTCTACAGTTTAAAAGAAACTTGGGGAAATACAAACGGATTTTTCCAATACTCCCCATAAAAGACTGCCCAGTTTTTAAAAATCCTCACCCAAGGATATGTCCATTGATTTTAGAGAAAGGAACAGGGAGAGAGAGAACATCGATGTGAGAGAGAAATCTATTGGCCACCTCCTGTATGCATCCCAACCCGGGGGATTGAACCCGAAGCCCAGGTATGTGCCCTGACTGGGATTTGAACCCAGAACCATTTGGTATATGGGACAATGTTTCCAACCAACTGAGCCACATGGCCAGGGAGAGTTTTATTTTTTATAATATATTTTTATTGATTTTCCACAGAGAGGAAGGGAGAGGGATAGTTAGAAACATCAATGAAAGAGAAACATCGACCAGCTGCCTCCTGCTCACCTCCTACTGGGGATGTGCCCACAGCCAATGTACATGCCCTTGACTGGAATCGAACCCGGGACCTTTCAGTCCGCAGACCGACGCTCTATCTACTGAGCCAAACCGGTTTTGGCCAGGGAGAGGGTTTTTTTTTTTTTTTTTAACTGTGTTTAAAATCTATAATAAAAGCGTAATATGCTAATTAGACCAGACGGCTGAACGACCTTCCATACATTCCGGATGACCCTCTGGGCGAAGCCAGGGCTGCAAGGGTCAGGGCCTTGGTGCCGAGGCTACCGCACCTCGAAGGCCACGCCCCTTGCACAAATTTTGTGCATCGGGCCTGTAGTTGTTCTGTATTTGCTGTGTCAAATGACCACACTTAGTGAGCAGCCTCTTGTTCTACCTTCTCAAAATAGTATGTAAGCCCTATGTTAGTCTAGCCTTGACATCTTTAGTTCTATTTTTAAAATATTTCTTCTCACCCTCCGTAGTGTGTTCTTAGAATTAAGGATCACACCTCCTTTCTCCTCCTTTCTTGTCCATTAGTATTAATCTCCATGGCCTTATTCAGGGCTGGTCTCTGATTCCCTTGGCAATATGCCACACCCTTCAAAACCCATCTCCTCCAAGTATTAATTTCTGCTTTTAACAGAAACTTCTAATGGCATGCTTGCCTGCTTGAGCTCCTTTAATTATTCAGTGAGTATTTATTGTTTACTAAGTACCAGGCACTGTTGGAGGCTTTGAAGACTCAACAGTTAATGCACAAAATTGTAGTCCTCATGGAGTTTATATTCTAGCATGGACCAGAGACACAGAGTAAAAGGAAGAACTAAAACATGTGCTCTTTGGTTTTTAAAAATATATTTTTATTGATTTCAGAGAGAGAGAGAGAGAGAGAGAGAGAGAGAGAGAGAGAGAGAGAGAGAGAGAGAAACATCAATGAGAGAGAATCGGTTGCCTCCTGGGGATGGGGATCGAGCCCTCGCAACTGTGCGTGTGCCCAGAACCAGGAATGAGACTGTGACCTCCTAGTGCATAGGTCAATGCTCAACCATGAGCCCTGCCAGCCGGGCTAAAACATGTGCTCTTCGAATCAGTATTTGAAACGGGTAACTAATTGAGGATTCTCAATGCATGGGTGCTGGTGTATATTTTTATGTGGTGAAAGTGCTTGATAATCTAAGAAACACCCCAAATTAAGCCTCCTAACTCTCCAAACACGTGATGGACGCGATGCTCTGATTTAACAAGTTACCATTGGCTTCCTCCTCAGCTGTACAAGGACCAATAGGTTACTAGGATCTTCCTGGGAGTTAAGAATTTGAGTTGACACCTTTTGGTCCCACAGCTGGGGAACAACGCACTACAAACTCCAGCTTAGTGACTGCCTAACTGTGGTCTTCCAACCACAACTGGCTGCGTTAAAATTACCCAAGTTGTGCCATGGCCGGTGTTGCTCAGTGGATAGAGTGTCGGCCTGCAGACTGAAAGGTCCCAGGTTTCAATTCCGATCAAGGGCATGTACCTTGGTTGAGGGCACATCCCCAGTAGGAGATGTGCAGGAGGCAGCTGGTTGATGTTTCTCTCCTTCTCTGTAAAAAAAATCAATCTATATATATAGTTAATTACCCAAGTTGTGCCCTGGCCGGTGTGGCTCCGCTGATGGGAGCGTTGTGGTGTGCACCAAAAGGTCGCTGGATGGATTCAGGTCAGGGCCCGTGCCATAGGTTGCAGGATTGATACTTCTCCCATCGAAGTTTCTCTCTCTACCTCCCCCTTCCTCTAAACACCAGTAAAAACATAAACTTGGGTGAGGACTGAAAGAAAAAGTCCCCCCAGGGATGCTGGGGACACACACACGTTTGGGAAAATCACACAGGTGTTGGCTAGACGAGATCGGAGGACACTGGGAACTGAGAAAAGTTCCCAAGAGGCAAGTCTGAGCTCCGTGGGAGGGCGGGGAGCGGACCGGAGAGGAGACGGCACTCTTCAGGGAGTTCGTCTCCCGACCCACATCTTCATGGCCCCCCGCCCTCACACAGCGGCGCCCTCCACCGTCGTGGCCGACCGCGCCCCGGGCTGTCACCCCCGGGTTGTGGCCCGAGCCTGCGACGGAGGTGCTGCCGTCCCGGGCTGGCGAAAGTCGGCACAGCCGTTTCCGCTGCCAGCACCCAAGATGGCGGCACGAGCGTCGCCGCCACACGAAGCACATGCTCTCGGCTCCGCATCGACCTCAAACATCCCCGCCCTCGGGTCTCCCTGGACTTTTGCAAGTCACCGTGGGAACTCTCAGGGGGGGACCCCGCGCGGAGGCGGCGGTACGCCCTCCCAGGCCTCGGCCCTTCTCCCCCCGCCAAGGAGAGCGCCGGGAGCGCGCCGCCGGCCGCTCGCTCCGCACCAGCGTGTGCTCCCTCCCGGGGCGGAGGGGGCCGGGATGCCGCGGGCGAGAGGGGCCTTCGCCCCACTTATTGGAGGGCCCACGCCGTGGGGGCGGGCTCACCTCCCATTGGGCCGTGAATCGTGCCCGTCTTGGGAAATCGGAGGGGAAAGGAGGCGGAAGAAACTCAGCCATTGGGCCCTCGCTGCTGTCAATCAACGTGACATCCGGCGACGGCCGGGGTCTCGGCTCGCTGATTGGAGAAACGTTCTGGCCGCGGAGGGCGGGCTTAGAGGTGAGGTGGGAGGAGGAGGCGGGGAGGGAAGCGGAGGCTGGGGAGCTCTGGGCCGGCCGGCGGCGGCGGCGGCGGCGGCGGCTGCGGAAAGGCGGGGGTTCGAGGTGAGGACCTGCTGTGGCAGCAGGGCAGTCGGAGCTCAGCAGCGGGTACCCGGCGTCTTGTTTGCCCTGACGAGAGGCCGTGTGCCGCGCCGCGGGGCCCAGACTTCGGGGCTGAAGGGCGGCGGGGTGGAGCTGAGGGGCAGGAGGCGGGCGCGGGCGGCCGGGCCGGGGTGGTGTCGGGGTCGGGCCCGGGCCGGCAGGGAGGGGCGGCGGGGCCGCGAGGCCGCGAGGAGAGCCAGGTCCCGGTGGGCCGGGACGGGGAGGGCCGGGCGCCCGAGAAGGCGTGGTGCGAGGCCGGGCTCCGGCGCGGGGTGGGGCCAGGCGCGGCGCGACGGGGCAGGGCCGCGAGGGTGGGTCAAGGCCGGGGAAGCGGCACTTGTTCCCGCGGCCCCGGAGCTGGAAGCGGAGGGAGCGAGAGCGGGCATGGCGACGTGGTCTCCGCCGGACGCGGGTACCCGGGGCAGTGGGACTGGGCTCACACCAGGGGCCTCTGGCCTTCCTCGGTCTTTAATTTAATTGGCTCTAGAGGGGGCTTTAGTAATAAATGGCGTGAGGACAGGAGGGCAGTGTAAGCTGAAACTGGGTCGCAATTGTGTTTACTACTAACCAAGCAAGGTGTGTGTGTGTGTGTGTGTGTGTGGTTGTAGGTGTAGATCCCTCTTCTCCCTTAGGATGAAGTTGGTAGGTGACTCATAACCGTGAAGAGAGTTCTGTCTTGGTTTAAAAGGTTAATCGCTCAAAAGTAAGAGACCAAAAACCGAAAGTCGGACTTGCTCCCTCCCCACTTGGCTATCTGGGCTGAGCACTTTGCCATATCCTTCTGTTTGGGCTCAGAAGGTCATGAGAATGAAAATAAAACCTGCCCATGCAAATTATGGACGGAATAAGCCTGGCTCAGCTCACCTTCCTCTCTCCACCTCCCCCCCACCCTTTTTTTTTCTTCTTGTAAACGGGAGAGTGATAGGAAAGGGAAACCAGGTTTCAAAGTTGAAAAAAATAAAAGGCATTATCTTTTCCTGCGAAGTGGTGGCCTGACCGTGTTCCTCGTGTCCTTCTACACTCTCATCCATTAATAACCTCTCCCTCCCCTTTAGAAGTGGGGAGGGACAGGGATTGTAGGCCGTTTTCTCCAGAGATGGGCAACCAACTTTCCTTTAGGATAGGAAATGGACTTAACGCTAAAAATAGACGCCGGGTGGTGTGTGCAGGGGTGGAGGGGGGAGGAGGGCCGTAAGTCAGACAACATGTAAGACATGTTGGATGCTTGGGCATTGTCTGCTTCTTCCTAACAAGCCGTGTTTCAGGGCATTGCAGGTTTCATCTACAGAAACAGGGATCCTTTGATCCTTTGTGAGCAATACTTCCTTTCATAGTTGTGTCTCTGAAAGGTTTTTGTTCGGGGCGGATAACAACTGACTTATTTTCCCTCTCGTAAAAGTGGCCTTTTAATGTGTTTCCTACCTTCCGCCTTGATCAGGGTGTGGGAATTCTATGGAATCTTACCCTGTTGCTCTTGTGATTCCCATTTCAGGTTTCTCTGGAAACCCTCCTGGTAAGTGTGGAGGAGGCGGGACACTCTGACCCAAGACAAAAGGCCTGTAGCTCCAGCCAAAGAAAATAAACCTTAGGAAGAAAAACCCCACCAGAAACAACAATACCCATCAGCTGTTCCCGAGAGCAGCCCGCAGTGGAGTCTACAGAGCACCGCTCCTGGGAGGGAGGAAGTGACGGTGTGGATGTGGGGACAGTAAGTCACGTGGACCGGAGGGCCTGGCCGGGGTGAGGAACGGTGGTGCGTGCAGAGGCGAGGCGTGGAGAAGGGAAAAGTGAATGTGGCCCAGAGTGTGGCCTGGGCTCCACGGGGAGTGCTTTCCTGTGAGGCCATCAGGGAACTCAGCCCCTGTGCCCTGCCAGGGTGGGGTGCGGGTTTGGCATTGAGCGGGGGGTAACTTGCTGGCTGGAGCAGCAGAGCAGTGGCCTTGATTTGACTTTTGGAAGATTTTAAAAACCAAAAAACATAAACGTTGTGGTCCTTCAGCAATGCTTTCTCTGAAGAAATACTTAACGGAAGGACTCCTCCAGTTCACCATTCTGCTGAGTTTGATTGGGGTGCGGGTGGACGTGGATACTTACCTGACCTCTCAGCTCCCCCCACTCCGGGAGATCATCCTGGGGCCCAGTTCCGCCTACACTCAGACCCAGTTCCACAACCTGAGGAATACCTTGGACGGCTATGGTATCCACCCCAAGAGCATAGACCTGGACAATTACTTCACCGCCCGGCGGCTCCTCAGTCAGGTGAGGGCCCTGGACAGGCTCCAGGTGCCCACCACCGAGGTCAGCGCCTGGCTGGTCCACCGGGATCCGGAGGGCTCTGTCTCCGGCAGCCAGCCCAGCTCAGGCCTTGCCCTCGAGAGTTCCAGTGGCCTCCAGGATGTGACAGGCCCAGACAACGGGGTGCGAGAAAGCGAAACGGAGCAGGGATTCAGCGAAGATTTGGAGGATTTGGGGGCTGTGGCCCCTCCAGTCAGTGGAGACTTAACCAAAGAGGTCAGTGGCCACGAGGAGGGGTGGGTGGGAAGGGCCGGGTTGGGGGTGGGGATGGGCTGGTCCTGGAGGACTGTGGTCTGTAGCACTAACTCTTGTGAAGAACCAGAGGTTGGGCTGGGGGTGGGGGGATGTCTCAGGCATTGGTCTTGGATAGGACTGAGCTGAACTGTCTGCCTGGGATTGGGGCCTGGGAGCATTTCCTGTGTTGAACCATTGACCCACCTCTGAATGTACCGTCAGGGCAGTGGGAGGTTCCTAGAACATGCCAGTGTGTTTACTGCTTGGATTTCAACATGACTCCTGGAGGCCCTGCGGTGGGGGAGGGAGTCGTGTTGTGATGGGCTTTGATGCCGTGTATATCTGTTGCTAAGACACAAATATTTTGTGGACTCTTGCCTTGTACCTCCCCCCAGATCAAAACATACATACATATCCTGAAGTTCTCCCTGTGGTCAGTCCTGCTGTTGTTTTAAGGTCCTGATAAGTGCACTGTCCTGGGCCTGAGCCAAGGGGTAGATTTTAGATAGTTATTCTCGGTGCAGTGCGGACCAAGGCTCCCATCTTTGCTAAAGGCCTGCTGTAGGCATAGGAAGGAGGCTGGGAGCTAGAAGAGGAAATGCTTTCTGCTGCCCGAGTCCTCTAGCTTTGAGCTGTCAGATCTTCAGCTCCTGACATGTGGCAGACATACTGTTCCGGGCAGAAAGTGATGTAATTGGCTTTAATAATGTGAATGGCTACAACTGCCCCTGTCCCACCAACACAATGATAAGATGGCTTTGAGCTCTATGTTTTGCCCTGGCTTGCCACTCAACCCCAAGGAGTTTGAAAAAAAGGCCCCTGAGGAAAAGAGAAGACTGGATTGCACTAGGCTGGGTTTTCCAGACCTGAGTGTTGGGGCGGGGGGTTGTAAAAAGGGTTACACATGCTGAACTTGCCTCCTTCTGCCCACTAGTCAGACCAGGTTTTTTCTTCTCTCCTGCGGTTGAGCCTTTTCTTGAGCTCAGTTCTCAAGCGTGTGGCTTCCTTTGGGCCAGAGGTCCTAAACTGGGGGTGATTTTGCTCCCCAGGGGACATGTGGCAGTGTCTAGAGACACTTGGTTGTCAGAACTAGAGGTGCTATTGACCTTTAGTGGGGAGAGTTTAGGGATGCCGTTAAACTTCCTAAGAAGCACAAGACAGCCCCCCAAATGACAGACTGATCTGGCCCCAAATGTCAGTAGTGCCAGGTTGCTTTACTGTTCAGCTGGCTCATACTGGATCTACTTTGAAAGAGACTAGAATTATCTGAGCATTCGAGACGTGAGCATTCCTACTTTTCAGTGCATTTTTTGTTCATCTTCACCCGAGGATATTTTTCCATTGATTTGTAGAGAAAGTGGAAGGGAGGGCAAGAGACAGAGAAAAGGAAACACCCATGTGAGAGAGACACATCGATCGGTTACCCCTGCAGGTGCCCTGACCAGGGCCTGGGTGGAGCCTGCAACCAAGGTATGTGCCCTGGACCAGAATTAAACCCAGGATACTTCAGTCCCAGGGCCAACTTTCTGTCCACCAGACCACACCGGCTAGGGCTTTCAGTGCATTTTGAACAATCTTTATTGTTTAAAGTATTACATATATCCCCTTATTTGTCCCATTGACCCCTTAGCTAACCCCACTCTGCGCCCCCGGCCTTCACATTTTTCCTTAGATCCTTACAGCGCCATTGGGAACTTGAACCTCTCTTCTCTCTCTGTCATTTACTTCAAATGGACTCCAGTCTTGGCACAGCGGTCTGAAGTAGGCCTGCATCCTCGTCTTCCCCCCGCCCGTGTAGCTCCCCAAGGGAATAGGGTTAGGGTTAGGGTTAGGGTGTAACTGGCTCGCTCTGGGAACCCTGCAGGGGAGCCCTCTGGGATGGATGCTCCGATAGAATGTAGCTGGGGTGGGTGGGACTTTGACTCTGCTTTCCTCCATTTCTTGGCCTTCTAGAAGGTTGTTTTCTGTGACCAGGCCTTCGCGACTCCCTTTTGGGGGTTGGCGGTGGGTCAGCATTAGGGGCCCAGGCCGGGTATGGGGGGAGGGAGGGCTATTATGTGTCTAGAACATTTCCTCAGCAACTCGGGGATAAAAATACCCAGGTCCGGAGCATGTGACAGGCATTGCTGGAGCCGGTATTATCCCTGGTGGCAGTGCTCCCCTGCTGCCAGGCCTGTTCGATGGACAGCCATAGCCTGGGCCCGTCAGGGATAGGATTCCCCTCGAGGTTGGCACTCTGCCCAGGGCGAGGGTGGCCTGTGCACAGCTCTCCCCAGGCTAGCAGCAGAGTGACCAGGAGAGCGCACTGCCCCTGACCTGACTTTCAGCTCGGGGGAGCGGCACTGAGGGTCGGAGTCAGAACAGGGTGCTGATTCTGTCAGGGTTTCTTTCCTTCTTCAGAGATGTGGGCCAGGGTCAGGCAGAGCTAGGGTAACGGGAGTGGGGACATGTTTGTGGCTCCGACACTTGTCTTCTTCAGTGTCTCCTTCAGCCTTCCGGCGGGGGCTCCCACCTCGCAGTAAGCCTGCTGGCTCTGACATGGCTGCACGTGCAAAGGGCATTCTCCCTTCCTCATCTGGCCGCTGTAGAGTGAAAGCCCCTGGCGCACATGTGATCTGGATACACTGGGTTCCTGCCCAGCCTGGCTGGTCATCCTTGGGCTTGAGGACAACTGGCCGCGGTCCTCCTGAGGAACGGGAAAACTTCCATTTCCAGGGAAGAACTTCAATTCCCGCAGAAGCTTCAGGAGTGTCTGCCCAGTCCTGAGTGGGCTGGGTAAGCTGGATGCGACTAGAAGGAGTGGCACCCCTTCCCCCCAGGGCGCTCACTGCCCCACCCGCACTGGCGCTCTGGGCTGGGTGGGGCTGCCCGCCCCTGGGTGCGTCTCCTTGAGGGGAGGCGGCGGCCCTGGGATGGGCTGGTTCCTTGCGCAGCTTCTCCAGCTGCCCTGGTGCAGAGATTGGCTCTGGGCTGCAGCTAGGTAACAGGCGGTGGGAGGGGATTGGCTCTTTCCGCATCTCCAGCGGAGACTTGGGGGAGGAGATTGGCTCTCGTCGCAGCCTAGGTAACGACAGTGGGAGGGGATTGGCTCTTTCCGCAGCCCAGCTGCTGACCTGGGGGAGGGGATTGGCTCTCCGCAGCCTCAGCAGTGACCTGCGGGGGGGAGGGGGAGGGGATTGGCTCCTTGCTGCAGCCTAGGTAACAAGTTTGGGGGGCGTGGGGATGGGAAGAGAGGGAGGAGTGGGAGGATAGGCCTAGGAGGACGCTTGCTTTCCTCTGCAGCTTGGGCACGGAACATGGGGTGGGAGTCCCGTCTCACTGCAGCCGCTGCGGTGAGCTCAGGGTGGGGACTGCTGGGCGCCTGAGTGGAACTGGGGTTGTGAGGTGGGAGGGGGCTGCTCAAGGATGGAGGAAGAGGGCTGGGCTGGGCCGCCCAGGCAGCTGTACGGGCGGGGCACCTCCTCAGGCCCCTCGGAGCTAGCACGGGGCCACCCTTCCAGCCTGGTGTGCTTCCTGCAAGCCAAGAGCTCCTCGCAGCCCCCCGTCCGGCTTCCCGGCACCGGCTGCCCTGGGGCTCATCTCGCAGAACATGACCCGCCTGGACCGCAGCTCTCACAGCGGTGGGGGCCCTGCCAAAGGGAGCAGGCCCCTTAACTCTTTGCAGGCTGGTCATCGGGTGGCCCAGCCCCACTCTGCTCCTGGGTCCAGGGCTTCTGTTCAGGTTGGTGTATGTGGGGAGACCGAAAGGAGAGGTACACGTGGTGGGAGGTCTTAGGATCAAAGAGGGTATGGTGGGAAAGGATACCTGATAAGGGTTAGGGAGGTGAATCTCATTAAGGATATTGCTTTCTGAAAAGTGCCGGCTTAACCTGAATGGAAGGAAACAGTAGGGTTTCTTTAGCTATAGGTGTCATGTGTGGAAAAGCTCCAAGAGCTATTTACTGGGGTTCTATGCTGGTGGCAGGGGCTGGGGCTGGGGGTGGTCGCAGTTGGTGCAGGAGCCGCCAGGGTAGAGCAGGGTGGGTGTTTTGGTACCTGAGGCAGCAGCCGTGGCCAAGTGGTGATGGAAGCTATGTCCTTGAGTGGTAGGGAGTGAGTCCTGGGGTGTGGTAAGGGCGGAGAGCTCTGGTGTGAGAGGGGGCACCGGGCTGGCCTCGGTAGGGGTGGGGTGCCCAGTGAGGATCAGCTGACTGCTTGAAGCTCTCCTGGGAGCGGCAGCTTGTTGGGATCAGCTGGAGAGTGAGGATTCTGGCAGGGATGGATCTTGAGGTGAGCCTGGGTTTTAAGAGTTGTGGGTGTTCAGTCTTACTCCTGCCTCAGCCGGGGAAGGGGGATGGCTGGAGACAGCCTGTCATTGTCATTGGTTTCATCAGGTGGTTGCAAATGCAGGGATTTTCCTCTCCAGCCCAGCCCACCCCTTTATGCAAATGAAATGGTACCATAGGCTGATGCAAGTCTGGCCACCATCGAAGCAATTCTGCATGACAATTTGCCCTTGCTTGCTGTGGCCAGCTTCCTACAAACCATGTTTCAAGGGATTCCCATTCCCCAAATGAGAAATGCCCCTTAATTTCCTCCTCCTTACATAGCAATGAGGTGCCCTGCCTTTCAACTGGGGTGTTTCTGGTGCAGATACAAAGCCCCAGACTGGCACGGTGATGGTACGCTATTGGTTTTTGATAGGTTTTGGGTTTCTTGGAGGCTGGCGTCTGGGAATGAGTGAATGAAGCCTTGCTGATGCAGAGTGGTGGGGGTAAGAGGCTGGCAGCTCTAGGCCTGGGAGGGAATAATTGGAGCAGTGCTAGGAAGGACCCCTGAGAGGGAGGAAGGGGCTCCTAGATCCAAGAGCTAAAGTCGTGGTGATCTGTCTTTCAGGACATAGATCTGATTGACATACTTTGGCGACAGGATATTGACCTGGGGGCTGGGCGTGAGATTTTTGACTATAGTCATCGCCAGAAAGAACAAGATGTGGATAAGGAACTGCAAGATGGAGTGGAGCAGGAGGACACCTGGCCAGGAGAGGGAGAAGAAGTTCTGGCACCAAACCTGCTAGTGGATGGAGAAACTGGGGAGAGCTTCCCTGCCCAGGTACTCCCACCTCTGCTCACTCCAGGAAACTTCTCTTTAGAGAAGGCAGTTATGTCTTGTGGGATGGACGTGAGTGGATATTTTGGGTTGGGGTCTCTCACAGCGAGTGGGCTAAGAAAAGAGGAGTGAATGAACAGAAGTAGAGGGGCCAGGCTTTGGTAACAAACAGCAGAGGCGGCACCTAGCAGATTCCTACTTGCATCAGGACTCTTACCTTCCCTGTTCTCCCCTGGAGTTTGGGGCTTAGGGAAAGCCATTAGCCTGGAAACAGAGGGAGTGTAGGCCTACAACCATGCAGGTCTTCCTTCGATGTCCCCTTGGGAAAGCCTGCAGGCAGCCAAAGCCCAGATCAGTCAGACTTACAGTTGCTGTTGCCACAGGTGCCTGGTGGGGAGAACCAGACAGCCCTGTCCTTGGAATTGTGCCTTAGGCTGCTGGAGGCCACCTGCCCCTTTGGGGAGAATGCCGAGGTGAGGACTTCAGGGAGAGCCCACCAAGTCAGCAGAGTAGCCTGCACACAGTGTTCCTATGGGGCTGCCTGAAAGGCCAACTCCTGGTGCTGGCCTTGTCCTGGCTGCCGGGGTGAAATCAGGAAGGGACAGACCTGATGGTAGTCTCTGGGAGGAAAGCACAAGGCTGGTCTTTCCTTTTCTCTTTGTTCAAGACTCTGTTTTGCCCTAGTTCCCAGCAGACATTTCCAGCTTAACAGAAGCAGTGCCTAGTGAGAGTGAGCCCCCAGGTCTTCAGAACAACCTCTTGTCTCCTCTCCTGACGGGGACAGAGTCACCATTTGATTTGGAGCAGCAGTGGCAAGATCTCATGTCCATCATGGAAATGCAGGTAAGACTGTCAGAGCACAAACTCATGGGACTTTGTGTGGGGTGCCAACCCTCTCGGAAGAGAAAGAGTAAAATATCTGTCTGGTCCATAGGAAAGTGAGAGGTAACTGTCGAGGTATCTCCTCGGGGAGATGGGGGTAAAGTGAGGGGTAGGGTTTGGGTTAAAACGCCAGGGCTTGAGCCTTTTAGAGTGGGTATGCCTTCTTCCTTCAAGCAGATAATCACTTGGCTAGGTGCTTCCAAGGTATACCATGCAGTGCTTTACAGCCACCGTAAAAATTACCTCACTTGGCCCTCATAATAATCTAGTCAGCCCTTCATTGTTTTATTTATTTTTAAAATATATTTTTATTGATTTCAGATAGGGAGAGGGGAGAGATAGAAACATCAATAATGAGAGATAGTCATTGATTGGCTGCCTCCTGCATCCAGGCATGTGCCCTTGTCCTGAATTGAACCAGAGACCCTTCAGTCCACAGGCTGACATTCTATCCACAGAACCAAACCAGCTAGGGCAGCCCTTTATTATTTTAAAGGTGAGGATATGGAAGCTCAGATAGCTTATGATATATTGGTCACACAAAAGTGGTACAGCGGTTTCCTTATTCCAAGGCTTGTTTCTTTGTTTTTGTTTTTTTACTATGTTGATTTTGCAGTGAAGAGGTAGTTAGTGTTAGGTGTTTACTTATTCTCTCTTCAAGATGGGGAAGTCTGCTGAAACTGGTTTGGCTCAGTGGATAGAGCGTCAGCCTCTGGACTGAAAGGTCCCAGGTTTGATTCCGGTCAAGGGCATGTACCTTGGTTGTGGGAACATCCCCAGTAGGGGTTGTGCAGGAGCTTGCTGATCAATGTTTCTAGATCTCTATCCCTCTCCCTTCCTCTCTGTAAGAAAGATAATTTTTTTTTAAATTAAAAAAAAAAAAAAAAAAGATGGGGAAGTCTGGCCCAACATGAGTTGGTCAGTCCTGCATTGGAATGGGGTCCATAGGGAGGAACCCATCTTTGCCAGGCCTGGTGGACCAACTAGGGCCAGGAGCTGATGCCATGGGCTCTGGTTTCCAGTTTCTTGGTTTTATACCCATGCAGTTGTGCCTCTGTTGAGTGTCTACTCTATAGAAGCCCTCAGCTTCTCCTGGGAGGGTCTGCTCTGAGTAAAAGGTGACCCTCTTCTTCCCTTTCAGGCCATGGAAGTGAACACATCAACAAATGAGATCCTGTACAATAACCCTCCTGGAGACCCACTGAGCACCAACTACAGCCTTGCCCCCAACACTCCCATCAATCAGAATGTCAGCCTGCATCAGGCATCCCTGGGGGGCTGCAGCCAGGACTTCTCCCTTTTCAGCCCTGAGGTGGAGAGCCTGCCTGTGGCCAGCAGCTCCACACTGCTCCCACTGGTCCCCAGCAACTCCACCAGCCTCAACTCCACCTTTGGCTCCACCAACCTGACAGGCCTCTTCTTTCCACCCCAGCTCAATGGCACAGCCAATGACACGGCAGGCCCCGAGCTGCCTGACCCACTGGGGGGTCTGTTAGATGAAGCCATGCTGGATGAGATCAGCCTCATGGACCTGGCCATTGAAGAAGGCTTTAACTCCGTGCAGGCCTCCCAGCTTAAAGAGGAATTTGATTCTGACTCAGGCCTCTCCTTGGACTCTAGCCATAGCCCTTCCTCCCTGAGCAGCTCTGAAGGCAGCTCCTCCTCCTCCTCTTCCTCCTCCTCCTCCTCCTCTTCTGCTTCCTCCTCAGCCTCTTCCTCCTTCTCTGAGGAAGGTGCCGTTGGCTACAGCTCTGACTCTGAAACCCTGGATCTAGAGGAGGTCGAGGGCGCTGTGGGCTACCAGCCTGAGTATTCCAAGTTCTGCCGCATGAGCTACCAGGATCCGTCTCAGCTCTCTTGCCTGCCCTACTTGGAGCACGTGGGCCACAACCACACGTACAACATGGCACCCAGTGCCCTTGACTCTGACAAGCAGATGAGCCGGGATGAGCATCGAGCCCGAGCCATGAAGATCCCCTTCACCAATGACAAAATCATCAACCTGCCTGTGGAGGAATTCAATGAGCTGCTGTCCAAATACCAGCTCAGCGAAGCCCAGCTAAGCCTCATCCGGGATATCCGGCGCCGGGGCAAGAACAAGATGGCAGCGCAGAACTGCCGCAAGCGCAAGCTGGACACCATCCTGAACCTGAAGCGGGACGTGGAGGACCTGCAGCGTGACAAAGCCCGACTGCTGCGGGAGAAGGTAGAGTTCCTCCGGTCCCTGCGGCAAATGAAGCAGAAGGTTCAGAGCCTGTATCAGGAGGTGTTTGGGCGGCTGCGAGATGAGAATGGGCGACCCTACTCGCCCAGTCAGTATGCTCTCCAGTACGCCGGGGATGGTAGTGTCCTCCTCATTCCCCGCACCCTGGCCGACCAGCAGGCCCGGCGGCAGGAGAGGAAGCCAAAGGACCGGAGAAAGTGAGCCGGGAGGAAGGGGGGTTGACACTCACCAAGATTGAAACTGGAGGAGGGCTGGGCCTGGACCTGGACCTACAGTGGGGGACTTGAATGCCTTGTTATCCAATAGATCTGCTCAGACAGGATGACTGTGGGTCAGTGGACAGGAAGAGGTGAGCACAGGCGCTGTCTGGCTCAGCTTCCCCACTGGGGAATGTTGAAGTTGCCAGACTGTTTGGGTGGACAGGGTCTTCACCCATCCCCCTTTCCTTTGAGGGGAGAGGGGTGGTGATGGCATTGATGGAGGCTGACAAAGGGGAAGGGACTTGAGAGAGGAGAGAAAAGAAGTAGGAAGTCTCATTCCAGGAAGAAAGGAAGGAAAGAAAAACCAAATAGAAAAAAAAAAATAAAAAAAAAAAATCAAAGCTGGAAGAAAAAAAAATGCAGGTTAAGATCGAATCTGGCCAGGATTCCAGGCAACAGGTTTTAGGTGGGACGAGGTCGTTGGTGTGAGTAAACCCCACTTCACTCCAGGGGAGGGGCTTTGTGAACTCATTCTACTCCCACTCGGATACCCACGAAGGGGAGCTCTCCGGTAATGAACGTTTCAACATGGGAGCTACTGGGACCCAATACTAGTTTGAGGGTTAGGATTAAAGGGTAGTGAAGAGGAAAGAGTCACAAGGCCCCATGTTGCAGCAGCCCCAACACCAAGCATGCCACTCACTGTCCCGTCACCCCTTCTCCCCTGGTGCCCAGTCACCGAGCTGAGGTTCCCATGACTTCATCAGAGCTTGCATGCAAATGCTGTTCTCTTCCCTGCCCACACCAGCTGCCCAGAGCTCTTTTGCACCTGGGTGCTGGCAGTGCCCCCAGCAATGGGCCTACAGCCTTCTGGGGGCTGCTCTGAGGCAGGGGGATGATGTGGAGAAGCCAGGTAGTATTCAGCACAACACTGGGGAGTGACCCCCTCAGACCTCCCACCAACTGGGCTTGTCACTGGAAAAGCCAAAACAATGAAACCCAGCAACAACAAAATACTAGTCCTCTTAGAGGTTCTTGCGCTTTGATTTTTTTAGGGCTTGAGCCCTGTTTCACTTATAGGGTCTAGAATGCTTGTGTTGAGTAAAAAGGAGATACCCCAATATTCAAAGCTGCTAATGTTCTCTTTGCCATAAAGACTCCGTGTAACTGTGTGAACATTTGGGATTTTTCTCCTCCGTCCTGAGGTCTCTGTCTGCTTTCTTTTGAGTTTCTTCCTAGGAGGATTAGAAGTGCATGAATGGAGGTTTACAGCATCTTCCCTCTGCCCCAGGCTCTTGGCCATAGGCAACTTCTCAGCACCCTGAGCTCAGCAAGGGCTCCTGAGGGACTGCCTGGGGGAAGCAGAGAGGGGAGTGCCAAGGTGGCCACATGGTTCCAGGACCTGTGTCTACTTTTAACTGTGCTACTGCTGCTTCCCCCTCCCCCCAGGCTGACTAGAGTAGTTTGGACTAGCAGGAGTTAAATGGGGGAAATACTGGTTCTCCCCACTTTGGGGGAGGGTAACATTAATTGAGCAGTAGGGCCAGAAGGCATGAGCCTGGGAAGTGCTTTTATAAATTATTTTCCTTGTAGATTTTATTTTTAATTTATCTGTGACCTGCCAGGGAAGGGAGAGAAGAGGTTGTGAGCACATGACAAAAATAAAATAAAATGGATGATTCATTCTCAAGTGCAATTTTTCCCTATCTTGAATTTAAACAGTAAGTAGGCCTCAGGAGGGCTGGCCATTGTGTGACTAAGGCAGAGCTTACTTGGGAAGGCGGGTAGACAAGTAATTTAGAAAGGACAGAATAGTCTTAAATACTGTATTAATAACCCTTCCAGGCAGGTGTTAGGTATCTGTTCACAAGGTTTACCAGCCGAGTCCTCAGAGGAAGGATTCAGAATCCTTTTGGCTTTTCTCAAAAGGCATGCCAAAGGCTTCAGTGTAAACTAGCATGGCCACAGAACTGGAGGAGCAGGAAGCCAGACCCCAGGGTTTTGAGGCATCGGAAAGCCCCAGCCGAGGTAACTGGAAGCTGACACACAAACGCCTCTGCCTTAATATCAAGCCTTTGAGGTGCTGAATGCTGCGAGGTACTGGGTGGTAGCTGGAACTGCCATATGCCCATCTTGAGGTAGATGCCAAATGCCCAAGTAATGAATACTCAGTGGCAGGCTGAGATTACTGGACAAGATTTATTCACTTGATCTTGGCCAAAAAGCTGAGAAGCAGTTCAAGACAAGATTTATGACCAGAAGCCATGATCCTAGTAATAGAACCTGTGATCTTTAATTTCCCCTGCACCACTGTGTGAACTGGCTCGGCCTAGTCCTTCAGTGATGCTGCTAGAGTTTATCCTGAGGGATGGAATAGAATTCCCGGAACAACATTGATTTCTTAAACTTGTTTCAATTTACAATGGCTTTCCTCTTACCTCTAGCTGGAAAGGACTGGTCATATTAACAAGAGCTCTTCCTGCATGAGGAATTAAGCAGTGTTTTTTGTCAGTCAGGTAAAACCAAGATTCTCAAAGTGAAAAAAGGGACAAAATTAAGAAATTCACTACTAAGAAAATACAAATTGTTATGTAGAAGAATAAATTGACAAGTAAAATTCAAAAAGTATATATTTTGTATTCCTTCTAGAAACAAATATTTTGGGTTTAACAATATTAGGCTATACCTTTTGTTTTGCAACTTCTTTTTTAGCATGAGATATAAAGGTTTTTCAAGTGAAACATTCCTCTTACCCTTTTTACTAGTGTTGCCTCTAGTCTGGGAAAGTATTTTTGTCACCCCCTTTCCCATGTCCCCTTATGGAGATCTACAGCTGTATCTAGGGTCATGTTGATTAGATGGGGCTTCGGGCCAAGTTGGTCAGCACTGCTGTGGGGCTGACCTCTTTTGCTGCTGGCTGGTGGAATGGGTGTTCCAGCTTCAAGGTTTTTTCTGTCAAGATAGGACTCACTTAAAGCCTGTTAAAAACCTGCTACACTTAAGACAAGAAGTTGAGAAGAGATGAATAGGCCTCAATCCTTAACTACAGACCAAATTTCAGCATGACCTGCTTGGCTAGGGGTAGAAACTTGCTCTGTCTTGACTTCAGCAGTGCTAGGCTTCACTCAAACCATTTCCCCATACATCATCATTCACGTGAGACGGAAACAGACTCACTGTTTTAACATCTGCCCTGCAGATTTCACCAATGAAGATGGGGCTATTTCAGTATCATTAAAAAAAAACAACACAAAACACACACACAAAAACCTGAAAGGGTAAAATAGTATCTGCAATACCTGGCCCTCCATGGCTGACTTCTCACCTTTTCCAGGGAAAGCTAAACAGCATCTAGTCAAACAGCTGGTGATCGGGGTAGTACTTTCCAAAGAACCTCATCTTCCTCAGGCTGCCCTACTCCCTGCTTTTACAGCCCCAGATTACACCAGGCCTTGCTGCTCTTCAGGTTTAGCAAATAGCTGGAAAAAACAAGTGCCTTGCAGAAAAAAATAACCCCAACACCATCAAGCCGCCTTCCACATCCAGTAGGCACCGACTTAGAGCAACAGCTTTATTTTTTAAATTGATTTTTATGGAGAGAAACACTGACTATCCCATTTACGCATTCACTGGTTGCTTTCTGCATATGCCCTCACCAGATATCAAGCCTGCAACCTTGGTGCATGTGGAAAAGGCTCCAACCCAACTGAATCACCTGGCCAGAGCCAGAGCAACAGCTTTAGCTCAGACTAAATCAGGAGTTTTAGTGCATCTCCAGCCAGAGTTTGTTTTCTTACTGATGCCATCTATATGCCAGTAAGGTACTAGGTTGGTATCTGCCTCTGGAAGTTGTTTTCCCAGCCAAGTGTAGAAATTCTCTAGCAAAGCCGAGGTGCTTGGCTATCCTAAGTGATTGAACCTTGTTTTCTTACCACCCATTCAGCTAGAAAGTGAATGGTGAGCCATAGACTTTTTGTCATTTTGTCAGTGTACCACGAACAGCAACCCTTCTTTGACCTTTACTTTCTCACTGAGGGGTTAGTCATTTCCTTGTCTCTATCTTCTGACTTCATCGTGGGGCATGTGGGAACTCTGGGAATACATGGGAAACTCAACACCCTATTTGATTTCTAGTCCTTGTTCTGTCCAGGGATCCTTTGAAAATGCACATTTGCCTAAATTAGCTGATTAACAGAATCTAGTACACCAGGTGTCTCCTGATATGAGTATGGGACCTTGCTAAAGAGTTGTGTTCAGAATCAGTTGGATAGAAACTCTGTCTTCCTTTTAGAGCAAACAAAAATACCAATGGTAGTCTCAAAGTTGGTTCTTTTCCAGTCCAACTTTAACTGGACTGGCGATAGACTGCACAGTAAATGTTACTTCATTACAGATATTTCAACCAAGGAAATAAAACCTCGTTCAGTCCACATGGGGAAGGGTGGAGAAAGACCACAGTTGGTGCTCTGCCCTGACCAGAGCCAGGCCCCAAAGTTCCCCTGCCTGACCACAAACAGTAAACGGCGGGACTGGTCAAAGTCAACTAGGATCTAAAAGTCCACATGGGTAAACATGGCTTTGGTGCTATTACCACCATGCAAACCAACAAGGTCATAGTGCAGTCAGGGCTGCTGCTGAATATTTTAACACAAGCTATTAACATAAACAAGAACTATAGAACTGAATTGTCAGCACGTTGTAAACTTATTGTTTCAACCTTACCTTGGAGTTCTGTCACCTCACTGATCTAAATAAGGGGGGAAAAAGCACCTTAGAAACAGACTACAGTTGACCCTTGAACAATATGTGTTTGAATCGCACAAGTCCACATATATGTAGATTTCCCCCCAATAAATAATGTAAATGTTCTCTTCCTTATGATTTTCTTTATTGTAAGAATACAGTCTATAATACATATAACATACAAAATATGTGTTTTTCAACTGTTTGCTATTGTTAAGGCTTCTGGTCAACAGTAGGCTAATTTAAGTTTCGGGAGGAGTTGGGTTATATGTGGACTTCCAACTGTGTGGGGAGGGGTGTCGGTAACCCAACCATGTTGTTCAAGGGTCATTAACTGTGCTCCGTCCTTGCCACCACAGAGCAGGGCCAACTATGCTTTTCATCCCAACAGGATGGATATTTCAGATTTCATTTGCTTTCAGTATTCAGCAAGAAGCTCCCAAGGCCAAGGTCAATTAAAAGTCATGCATGTAAGTGAGATAGCAACTTGAACACATTGTTTAGGAAAGCAGTAACTTGGTAAAACCTCAGCGATGAACAGTCAAACCCAGGGTAATGTGCAGGTCAGAGACTGATGGCTGTCTGGGGATCTTAAGCTTTTCTATCAAACTTCCTTAACGGTATACCAGAATACCAGGATGCCTCTAACTTGATTGCTTCCTACTGCTACGAGGCAAGGGAAGCCAAAACTCCTTCCTTCAGTAAGCTGAATGCTGGCCTAGTAGTGATACTGGTATTCCAAATTTTAGGAGGGAAAACACTGAGCCTGGACTTAGTTCAGTCCTATCATCTCTAAATTTTTATTTTTAAAAAATATATTTATTTCAGAGAGAGGGAGAGAGCGAAAGAAACATCAGTGATGAAAGAAAATCATTGATCAGCTGCCTCCTGCATGCCCCAGAGTGGGGATCAAGTCCACAACCTGGGCATGGGCACCGACTGGGAATCGAACCGTGACCATAGACCAACGTTCCACCGCTGAGGCACGTGGCCAGGCATCAGCTCTAAATTTTTAAACAAGAACATCCTCATGAGACAATCCAACTTGCATATCATATTAATATGAGCTCAAACAGAACCTAGCTCCAAACATAGTTCAGGATCTGGAGCATTACAGAAAATTTGCATTTCAAGTTTCCAGTTCCACCCAATGATAGCAATTTCCTCTCCCATTTTCTCTTTCTGTATGAGGGAAGTAATTACTTTGTAATACAGATTGCCAATGCCACAGACTATAAAGATGTGCTGAGCACACATGGCCAAAACACCAAATGGCCATGGGTTAAAATCAAATTGAGCTGAGTGTGAATGAGTTCTGGTATAGAAGATGGTATTTGAAATTAAATACTTAAAAACTCAACTATTAAAAATTATTTAGAGTTGGTAGTCAAAACTTTCAAATGACACTGAAAAGCTTAAGTAATTATTCCAGAGCACTGTCAGTTGATAAGATGGTCAATATACTGGTCATTTACTGTACCAACTTGAAACTCAACTGGACAGTGGAGGAGCAAGGCTATTGCTGTTTTTGTTTGTTTTTTCTTCCATTGGCTCTGTCAGTGTAGGACTCCTTCAATAATGATACTGTCATCATATTAGTAAGCTCGCTCACCTTTTGTAACAGTAACTAAGGCAATAACTTATCTCCTCTTCAAGTCCTGGCAAGAGGTCTATGATGATGCAATTTCATTGAAGCCATCCAACACACACATTTTGTAATGCCTGAAGAAATGTTCTCTGAATACTTTGTTTTTAAGATTTGTTGTGCCTATGTATTTTTATTTCTAACATTTTTGCATGCATTTATGGCTTCAATAATCACTTGAGAAAAAATTCTTAAACCTTGAATCTAGAAATGTGATAAAGATAACAAAATTGTGGATATCTATCTCCATTTCAATCTTCATTGTATGTAATATCAATTTTAGATATTCCCTGGAAAGAATGATATATAGTTTTATAAGAGTTCAGGAATCCAGAAATAACAATGAAATAGGTTACAAAGGTTAAGGCTAAAGATGAGTAGCCCATTCTGGACACAACCAACGTGGAAGGTTAGTTTCAGTGCATCTTACGATGCAGAATGGAACCAGAACATTGCCCATCTCACCCCAACTCTTTTTGAGTTAGTTACCGACTGCTCTGCTGCTGCCAGCTACATGGACACACCCTCACACCTCTGCAAAGGAAGTCTCCCAGCTCCATTTTCCGTACATCCCCCCAAACTCCTAAAAGGCATTTTGAAAACAGTATCTACACATCAGTTTACTTGAAACAAATGCTCTGTATTAAGAGCTGAATATTTTACACTGATTTCACCTCAGTGGAAATCCCACTTTCCCCTTTTATAAACGACGAGAGTAAAATCCCATATTGGCTCTAGAATTATAGGCAGAAAACAACATTAAGAAAATAGATGATATTTTAATTCAGTAGTCAAATCCAAGGCTAATTCCTGAACATTCTGGAAAGTTGAATTTAGCTAAGGTCACACAAATCTATGCAATACATGAACCAGAAGCCAAACCTAACTCAAAAACTCATGTTTCCAAACATACCGTAGTTTGGAAGTGTTATCAGGCCACAGAGTGCTAAACAACCAACCTTTGAGCAATAAGAAAGACAGAATGATTTGACATTTACAGTCTCTGCAGCAATTATAAATGCCCAATAAATATTTACTCAATTAACATAGCGAGACCACGCAAAGATTCCAGACCAGGTGCCAGATTCCCAAGCCTACAGTGTTAAAGAAATGAAACCATCCAGGTGTGGAAGTTGTTTCCAACAGGCTGAACCTACAAGGTAATAAAAGGCAAGGAGGGTTTCTGGCAAGACTTAAGACAAATCAAGGATTATAAATCTATAGTTTTATTAAAACAAAAACTGACAGTGTTGTATGAAGTTTACATTTAAAACGTTTTCACAGAAATCTAACACATACCGAAAAGGATTTTACAATGAAGTTCTAGATGTAGGTCTGAATGATATCAATAACTGATGGAGTTTATGAGTAAAGACAGCATTTTAGGTATCAGTTAATTCTTGGGATTAAAAAAATTTTTTGTGTGTGTTTTAAAGTGAACCACTGCCCCAGTATGAAAATGAAAGTTTAATCTTCTTGTGAGACCAGGGCTTTTGAAATAATCCAACTCTTGAAGTGATTCAATGAACTTGTGCTGTCAGTGACTGACCCCTGCCACCAATGGTTTCAGAGTTCAAAGTTCAAAAAACAGAGAGGCTCCAAGAGCTTTCCCATCCTAAAACATGGGCCCTCTCTTTACTCTCACACCTCCTATACCATCCTCTTTGCCTCCCCCCAAACACCTCAGCCAGAAGCTTGGATGGACAAGCTAATATCTATAGCTTCATAATTAGAAAAGAAAGGGTCTTGTCAATTTTAAGAATTAGCACCTCTAAGACAGAACGATCTGCCTGTATATATATGCTCCAATAAAAGACTTTCCCTTCTCAACTAATGTCCGTCCTCCCTGACCCCCGGCCCCAAATGGCAGCTTTGGTAACTTATCAACTGGTTTAGTCTTTTGATGGGAACAGAATTAATCTCAGGCAGGGAACACCTTGGCCTGTAAGTTTCAGGCATTCACAGCTTTTAAACAGTCTCTTAGAGTCCTCAATTAAATTGCCAATTACATTTTTTAAAAAGAAGATATTCTGGACACCAAAACCAAATCATTAGCAGTTTCTTCTTTTCATTGTTTCACCATTTCCACAACCAGGTCCCAAATTTTAATAAAAACAATCCTACTCATCTCTCTTCCTACCCCATCCCTCCCACCCCCAAATAATACAGCAGTAATAGCAAAAAACTACACACATGCTACGCTGTAAAAATGCAGTTAACACTATTGGGAAGAAGGCTGTGGGTTGTGGAGATGCTCTTTGAAGATCTACAGTATCTTTTTGCTCTCACACATACCCGTTCTGCAAGTTTTATCCTTCATAGAAGGCCCTTTGCTTTTCTCAGCAAAGTGCAGAACGAATGCCTTGAAACACTTATCCTCCTTCCCCTCCACGTGGATGAGTGTGCAAACTATACAGCATGGAACGGCTTAAAGCACTTGGGCTGCTGTAGGGCACAGAAACGATACTGGCTCTTCAAAGGACATCTTCTCAAGCCACTTCTATGGTGTCAGGACAAGTAGAACTCCTTCCCGCCCCCCTTGAAACCCACAGTCAGATGTGACAGGGGCCGGTACTCAAGAGAGTTAATTCTTGTCATCTTTTTTGTCATCATCCTCTGAGGGATAGGAATGCCACGTCAGCCTTTCCTCATAGAAGGATATGACAACCTGGGGGCACTTGACATTGGCTTCCTTGGCTGGGACCAGGTCAGCCTCATCAGAGTTTTTCCTGCAGAATAAAGCACAGAGAGACTTTGAGACCAGGTGTTAGCGGTCTCCCAACTTGGGTAAGAAGCATAAGTTAGGGAAGGGCGTTAATACGGCGAAAGCAGCATTTACTGACAGCTTTTTAGTTAAGTGACACTCTTGTAGATATCCTGTTGAAAATCCCCTTTGGATGTCTTTGTCAAAAGGTAGGTGATCTAATTCAATCTACCACATGTGAACCTCTGGGAAAGACCAGAAAAAGCACCACTCTCAGGTTCTCCGAGAGAAAACAAAGGCTACTGCCCTCTTCCAAAAGCCATATGCCAGCTGCTAGGGGTCCATGGAGAGCTTGGCTTTGTAATGGGGTTTACACTATGTTGTGTAACACTGAATACCAATCTCACACTGGCCAGAGCCAATGCAGACGAACACTTTGTTGCTAACTCATAATTATACCGTTTAACGTTACCAAATGGCATGCTCACAGATATGCCAGAACTTCCAGGTGCTTTGAAACGGTTCTTCAACATTGGGAAGTAGAAAATGGACTATAACGCAATTCCTATGTTCTTCTGAATATTAAAATGTCCTCAAAATGTAAAAAATCACATCTATTCCAAGGGACAAAAGAGTAAACTCTATCTATAGGTCATTGGGAATGCTCCAGATGGAAGTAGTAGTATAGGGCAGGCAGTATCTATCTATCTATCTATCTATCTATCTATCTATCTATCTATCATCTATCTATCTATAAAAGGCTAATATGCTAAGTGTCATTCTGTTTATCTATCTATAAAAGGCTAATATGCTAAGTGTCACTCTGTTTGACCATTTGACCAGTTGCTATGACACACACTGACCACCAGGGGGCAGATGCTCTGACTGGTAGGTTAGCTTGTGGATGGGGTCCAGCCAATAGGGACTGGGCAAGATAGGCCAGACACACTCTGGAGTCCTCCCCCACAGCACCCTCTCACAATCCAGGATCCCTTGAGGGATATCTGAGGCGCGGTTTCAGCCTAAGGGACCCCACTGGCGCACGAGATAGAATCTCTGATGAATCACCACTCAAAAGTTCCAGAAACCCAGCAAGATAGTAAAAAGTTCCACAGCTCCACAGCATTAAGGACTAAGCTGGTAAGGTGCATTTCTGAATAATGGAATTGAGAGAAAGGAGTGTAACAGTATGGGAACACGAAGCAGGCTGCCCCTTGTTCAACAATGTCCTCAGAAGTAAGTTCAATCATTTCACTTCATAGGAATATTTGCTATTTTTGGAAATGGACAAGTATCTCCACTCCCCAGAAAAATAACCTCAAAATGAACTTGGTTTTATAATCAAAATCAATCTTAACATACTGGATTATATTTAGCTATAATCTTTACACACAGCAGTGAGTCAATCAAAGGATTATAATCTTAGGCAACATGAAGATACTAGTCTAACTCAGGTCAAATGCAGATAGAGAAAGTACACTCTAGCTGGACTGAATAACTCCTGGAATCAATTCTTTCCCTCCAAATGAAGCACCTTAAAAAATAAACTATTAAAAAAAAAAAAAAAAAAAGCAACACAACACACCTCCCACACATAAAAAAACAAACAAACAAAAAATATTCCTTCTATGGGCTAGCAATCAATCAGCTAAAAGGTTAGATTCAGTAAACAACCAGGGAATGCACAGGAAGAAAACAGGTTTAGCTAGCTGTAGGCTTTCTTGGGTGTTAAACTTAGACCTCTCTTTCAGAGAAGGTTCTAAACTGGCAAAAGGACAAAACACCTATAATGTTGTCTTCATAGGCAAAGGCTTAGAATTATTCACTCCTTATATTTTAAAAACAATGATTGAGATCCACTTGAGAGGGAAAAAGCATAGGTATTTTCAATTAAAAAAAAAAAGTGATGCCTTCCTTTTGGACAAGATAGGTAAATTATCCAAAATTTTGGGTTAATTACAGTTCTTAAGATTCTCAAGACACTGTTTCCATTAAGCTGTTTCATAGAGGACTGCTATCATTGGTGTTTATACTTAATGGAGAAAAATGTAGACATGCTCTATGCTCAATATATGACCCCTGCTGGCTGATCTTGGAACTGTACAAATTGGAAAAAAATCTTAATTTAAGGACGAAGGAAAAACTACAGAAATTCTTTCCTAACCTAGAGAAGATAACAGAATTTCTGAGCCTGGGGCCAAGCTAATTTCTCTTTATTAAGGAGGTGGTAGAAGGGAAGGGTGGTTCAATCACATTTCATATTTTTTCCTTTCACCTAGGAAAGTGAAATGTGAGTCCTTCCCATACCCTCTCCACTCTAGATTTTCTCCCACCTCTTAAAAAAATGGCCAAAGATCTGAAAATCCTAAGGACCCCTACCTGTAAATCATGAGTCCAAGTTGACAGTCAGGCCGAGGGTCATTATCGAAGGACTATGCCATCTTAAAGATTTCACACCTGGGTGACTGGAATTTCGAAGATCCAGCTCTTTTCTCTGGCATGGAACAAACGGGAGGAAAAAAAAACAAAAACAACACACACACACACACACACACACACACACAGCTCCTGGCACTCACCATTTCATCAGGAACATGAGCTCTCCACTGGAGTCTGTAGCTCCTATAATCCGTTCCGGCTCCAAACCTCGGGCAAAGCCTCGAGGCTTTTCTGGCTGCAAAACCAGAGGGATTGAACCGTTTTAAGTACATGGACTGCTATCCAGACCGGAGTTACTCCTCTTTCTCTAATTCATGTACGCAAACTCTTTTGCCAATATTTCACCAATACCATGGTTCCAAGCCTTTCAGAACTGAAAATCCCATCAAGGTCTGAAATGTTTGAGGTTTCCTCACATGTAAAAAGGGACACACACCTTAAAGCAAAAAAGATGTTAACAAAGAGTTGACCTATGAAACCAGGAGGTCATGTTTCGATTCCCAGTCAAGGCACTTGCTTGGGTTGTGGGACACACACACACACTCACTCTAGAGGACCAATGCATGAAATTCATGCAAGAAGGAGTAGGCCTTCCTTCCCTCCAGCATCGGGCCTCCCTCTTTGGGGCAATTGTGGAGCCCCCCTCCTCCCCTCGATTGATTGCCCTGCCGGCCAGTGGCCTGGGCCTCCCTCTGTGGGGCAATCACGGGGTGATGGCTGGGCCCCGGACCAATTGCATTGTACCTGTCCTGGGAGTCATAGCATGGTCATCAGAAGGTCGTTCTAATTAGCATATTATCCTTTTATTATTATACAAATATATGTAAAAAAGACAACTTACTTTAAGGTAGTGATAATGGATTAAAATAGCTACCTCAACCTGTAATGATTATAAAATACCGACTGCATCCTGGCTGGTGTGGCCCAGTTGGTTGGGCATTGTCCCATGTACCAGGAGGTTGCTGATTTGATTCCTGGTCAAGGGCACATGCCCATATTGTGGGCTTGATCTCTGGTAAGGGGAGTGCAGGAGGTAGTTGATCAATGTTTCTTCTCCTTCTTCTTTTCTCTCTCTAAAAATCAATAAACTATTTTTAAGAAAACAAAACAACCTGGCCAGCATGACTCAGTGATTGAGTGTCGACCCTATGAACCAGGAAGTCAAGGTTCAATTCCTGGTCAGGGCACATGCCTAGGTTGCATGCTCAATCCCCAGTGTGGGGCACACAGGAGACAGCCAAATCAATGATTCTCTCTTATTTAAAAATATATACATATTGATTTTTTTTAGAGAGAGGAAGGGAAAAGGATATAGTTAGAAACATTGATGAGAAACATCTATCAGCTATCTCCTGCACAACCCATACTAAGATACAAGCCCTCGATTAGAATAGAAACTGGGATCCTTTAGTTTGCAGGCCAATGCTCTATCCACTGAACTAAACTGGTTAGGGCTCAATGATTCTCATGGTTGATGTTTCTCTCTCTCCCTTTCTCTCTGAAGTCAATAAAAATACATAAAAACAAAACAAAACACTGAATGCTATCAAGTTACAGGAATGAATTGTTCCTGAACCTTCACATAAAATAAAAGATTAGCCGAAACTGGTTTGGCTCAGTGGATAAAGAGGTGGTCTGAGGACTAAAAGGTCCCAGGTTCGATTCCGGTCAAAGGCATGTACCTTGGTTGCGGGCAAATTCCCAGTAGAAGGTGTGCAGGAGGCAGCTGATTGATATTTCTCTCTCATCGTTGTTTCTAACTCTCTATCCCTCTCTCTTCCTCTCTGTAAAAAAAAAAAAAAAAAAAAAAAAAAAAAAAAATCAATACATTTTAAAAATAAATAAAAATAAAAGTAGGTTATGTGGTTGTCTTTGAGAGTAGTGAGCCCCCAAATACTCTGTAAGCATTAGCCTATCTAAGATTCCAGAAGGGCTGAGGGAGGGCTGCTCATATTCAAGAAGCAGAAGAACAAAAGTACTGAAATTATCTGGCTTTCAGCTTCATTGACAGCAGTAAGAACTGTGGCTAGTAACAATGCTTACTCCTACCCTTACCTCTTCTTTCTTCTTCTTTGGTTTGCTCTCCTCTCCCTTATCTTCAGAATCAGAGTCAGCTTTGCGTTTGCCTCCATCTGATTTATCTGTCTCATGTGCTGTTTTCTGTGATTGTAAGAACTCAGCAATGAGGTCAGGGCAATCCAAGTTCTCTTCTGGCTCCCACGTGTTGTCCTCACTGAAATCAAAGGACACCGTGAGTCACTTTCCACTTAAAGTTAGCATACTCATAAAAAGGAGAAGCACAGGAGGACAAGAGCTGGGTGTCCTTGGCAAAGAGGAGTTAACAGTGAGTAGCTAGATTTTGTCCAAGACCAAGAACTGAGCAAAGTTAAAATTTCTTGGGGTCAAGGATAGGGACAGGGGAGTAGGGGTGTGCTTTTTATTTTTAGTACAAATTTAAAATTTAGAAACTAGCCTCTTAAAAAAAAAAAAAAAAAAATTACTGCGGAAACCAGTTTGGCTCAGTGGATAGAGGACTGAAGGGTCCCGGGTTTGATTCCGGTCAAGGGCATGTACTTTGGTTTCGGGCACATTCCCAGTAGGGGGTGTGCAAGAGGCAGCTGATCGACGATTCTCTCTCATCGATGTTTCTAATTCTCTATCCCTCTCTCTTCCTCTGTAAAAAATCAATAAAATATATTTTAAAAAATTACTTTCTCTTGCAAATTTGTATCAGTCTAAAGCCACACACAAAATTGTCCCTCAGAAATCGCTGTCTTGTATTATAGCAATTTATACATATAGACCATTTTCCTAGTTAGATTATAAACCATGAAGGCCAGGCCTGAGTCACACCGCACCCATTGGAACACCCTAGCCCTTGACATTCCTCGACCCCTGAGAAATGTTGGTGATTAAATGAATGGATTCACCCAGGTCAAGGGACACTTACTCTGAGAACCCCTTCCACTTGAGGAGGTATTCCACTTTGCCCTTCACCACTCGACGGTCGAGAACTTTTTCCACCACATATTCCTCTTCTTCCTCTTCTAGCACCTCCTCCACTTTCTTCTTGTTTTGTTTCTTCCCCATAGTGCCCGCCAGTTTTCTGGTATAAAGGGTGACGCTGCTAAAATAAAGAAAATAAAAAGGATGTAAGTTGTTGGTTAGGTGAATATATGGATGCTAAGAAAAGCAGGGACATAATAGATGATTTTAATAGTGTGTTCTGCTTATTTAAGTGCTCTGTCTATTCATCTTCAATACACAATGAAATTTGCTGATATACTCAGCTAGAAAGTTAGTTCATAAATAGCTTTATCTAATCTCACAGAAAAACTTATTCTTGAATAGCTACATAAAATTTTATACATATTTTAAGTTAAAAAGTTCCCAATATCCCCTTTACTATAAAGCATATCTAAACTATATTATATTGAAATAAAACCAATCCTAAAAATAATGTACATACATAAAACATATACATATAACCCTCTGATCTGTACTTTTCCTATTCTGTTTTCCACTTCATTATAGTACTGGACTTGAATTTTTAGCGTGGGAAATAATTTGTCCTATTTATTAAACGTCTAGTTAATTTTCCCTTTTGTATATGTATATAACCCATTCCTCTGCACTGTTAAAAGACTCTCTCTTTTAAGTCCCCTTAAGATTCTTTATGCAGCCCTGGCTGGTTTGGCTCAGTGGCTGTGGACCGAAGGGTCCTGGGTTCAATTCTGGCCAAGGGCACATGCCTGGGTTGCAGGCTTAATTCCCCTTGGCTGTAGGAGGCAGCCGATCCATGATTCTCTCTCATCCATGTTTCTCTCTCTCCCTCCCTCCCTCTCCAAAATCAATAAAAAGATTTTTTTTTTTCCTGAATGCCACAATTAATTTATACATCACAAATTTCTTAACTTCTCATTCTATTTATTTTATTTCTAAGGCTGAAATTTTTTGGAAAATTAGGGGAAAAGCTTAGTTATCACAAATAATAGAACCAGATTTTATTCTTAAAATACATAATCAGGCTGGATAACCTTTCTAAAGGTTTTTCCAGTGCTAAAATTCTAGTCCCCTATAAATATACTTAAAAAAAAAAATATATATATATATATTTAATATATTTTGATTTTTTTACAGAGAGAAAGAGAGGTATAGAGAGTTAGAAACATCGATGAGAGAGAAACATCAGCTGCCTCTTGCACACCCCCTACTGGGGATGTGCCCGCAACCAAGGTACATGCCCTTGACCGGAATCGAACCCAGGACCTTTCAGTCCGCAGGCTGACGCTCTATCCACTGAGCCAAACCGGTTTCGGCTTAAATATATTTGTTATTGATTTTAATATACTTTCTTTTGTCCTTCATACAATTCTTTGACTTCTGTTAGGCTTAAAGCCTTATGTTTACCAATTTGTGTCAGTAGGTGGCACCATAAGATACCAACACAACAAAATTGTTCTACAAAATTGGCCAAAATCTACAAATTGATGGATCACTTGCTCAGAATGAGATACAAACAATCCAAGAGTATGGCAGATGATCCAAACAATAAAGAAGTTACTACCATGTTTGAATTTCAGACAATGCCCAATCTGGTTTGGTTAAACTGGTTGTAGAAACTTCCAAATACTTTACAACTGGACTGCAGAGAAAGAATGCACTATAGTATTTTAGAAATAATCCATCTATAGACTATGAAATTAACAAACTTTTCATAAAAGTCAGGATCATCATTATGGATCTTTTAAAAATATATATATATTTTTATTGATTTTAGAGAAGGGAGAGGGAGAGGCTGTGCTTTTGAAGGGAGAGGCTTGATTCAGGTTTTCAAGTTCTGATTGCCATGTGACAAATGTTATTTTATGAGTAAAGAAAAGTCCATTTTCCTTTAGGATAAATGCAGCGATGTTTCCCCCAGAACAAGTGCTACTACTTGCTTCCTTATTTTCACTGTTGATTGAAGGGGTAGCAACATTCATGGTCAGTTTTTGTTTAAAAAGAGCAGAGAACAGCCGAAACCGGTTTGGCTCAATGGATAGAGTGTCAGCTTGGGGACTGAAAGGTCCTAGGTTTGATTCCGGTCAAGGGCATGTATCTTGGTTGCAGGCATATCCCCAGTAGGGGGTGTGCAAGAGGCAGCTGATCGATGACTCTCTCTCATCGATGTTTCTAACTCTCTATCTCTCTCCCTTCTCTCTGTACAAAATCAATAAAAATGTATTTTAAAAAAGAGCAGAGAACAAAGGGCTAGACAACTCCCTATATTAATCTGGACATGACAACTGGAAGACATTCCCTTTCTCAAGAGATGGAAGGAAAACAATAGGTTACAGATAATCCAAAAAACAGTAACTGTCCGCTAATAACCCTTCTAACTAATTAAATTTAAGAAAGAAAAGGTATTCTATTACCATGGCACCAAAATTCAGAGCTATTTAAGGCTCAATGTTATCTACATTAATACCTATAATTGCCTTACAAAAAGAAACAGCATTTTACTTACGGTAAAGGAAACTAGACTGAGGGTGGGGAGCACACAATTAAGTGTATAGATATTAATTTATAATCTATCATCTGAAAATTATAACGTTGTAATGTTATCTCAATAAACTTACTTTGAAAAATTACAAAATGAGATCTATCCTTAAAAAAGAAAAATAAATGGCATTGAATACTGTCCATCTGGGTCCTGCTATTAGGAACCAAACGGTCAGGTCAGCTTCTGGCAGTCTCTAGCTACTACAAGCCTCTCTTTCCCATTAGCATGGCTCCAGGGAGTAGGAATCACAGCAAAGAACAAGAATAAAATCCTTAAAGTCAGGAAAAGAAAACTTCCTAAATGGGGAAATCCAAAGTACCTAAGACCTCTTGATTTACATCTTTACACAAATTATTGTCCTAAAAACAATTCAAATAAGAAGAATGAAGACTCCCATTTTTCTCTTGAGCTTTCTTAATGGGCTCATCCCTGCATCTACCTCCAGAAATTGGATTTTTTTGCATTGAGGATTCTCAGCCATGCTTCCGAATGTATTTCCTCCATTATTTATAGGTAGTTCTCTAGGCTTCTGAATAAGCTGTTTTCAAACTCAACAGAATGCAACCCATTCTTCCTATAGAATCTAGTACCTTCAAAAGAGCCAAGAGCCCCTTAAATATATGACAGGCCAATTATTCTCTTATAGCTTCCAAATGGATTATTTTAAAGGAAACCTCCACTTCCTGAAGATGGCAGTCTCTAAACACCAGCAGAGATAGTTTGAAGGAGAGTTCTCAATTAGAATTGCTTGCAAGAAAACTTCAAAGTAACTCAGATCAGTGTTGCAGCATATTGAGGGGGGAGGGTGGACCCTTTAACCAACACTATTTGCCACCCCCCCCCCCCCCCCCAAGCATCCTGGCAACCAAATTATGGTATCAAAAGTGCCATAATCAGCCCAGCCAGTATGACTCAGTGGTTGAGCATCAACCTATGAACCAGGAGGTCATGGCTCAATTCCTGGTTAGGTCACATGCCTAAGTTGTGGGCTTGATCCCCAGTGTGAAGTGTATAGGAAGCAGCCAATCAATGATTTTTCTCATCAATGATGTTCCCCTCCCCTTTCCCTTCCTCTCTGAAATCAATAAAAATATATTTAAAAAAAATTACACACTGGCCCTGCCAAAACCGGTTTGGCTCAGTAGATAGAGCATCGGCCTTTGGACTGAAAGGTCCCAGGTTCGATTCTGATCAAGGGCATGTACTTTGGTTGTGGGCACATCCCCAGTAGGGGGTGTGCAGGAGGCAATAATCAATGTTTCTCTCTCATTGATGTTTCTAACTCTATCCCTCTCCCTTCCTCTCTGTAAAAAGTCAATAAAAATATATTTTAAAAAATGACACACTGGATCAGATGGATTTAATTGACATTTATAGAACATTTCACCCCAAAGCTGCAAAATATATACTTTTCTCAAGTACACATGGGTAATTATCAGAGAGAGACCACAGGTTAGGACAGAAAACAAGACTCTACTACTAAGTTCAAGAAGACTGAAATCATACCAAACATCTTCTCAGATCATAATAGAATGAACTGAGAAATCAACTACAGTAAAAACACTCTGGCACATGGAGGCTAAATAGCATGTTATTAAACAATGAATGGATTACCAATGAGATCAAGAAAGAAATGGAAACTTCCTAGAAACAAATGAAAATGAATGCACAACAACCCCAAACCTCTGGGACACAGCAAAAGCATTCCTGAGAGGGAAGTTCACAGCATTACAGGTGTACCTCAAAACAAAACACACAAAAGGAAAAAACAAAATAAGTTAATAATCAACTATTTAACCTTACAATTTAAAGAATTAGAAAGAGAACAAGAAGAAAAGCCCAGAGTAAGAAAAGGACATACTAGCCGAAGCCGGTTTGGCTCAGTGGTAGAGCATTGGTCTGCGGACTGAAAGGTCCCAGGTTCGATTCCGGTCAAGGGCATGTACCTTGGTTGCGGGCACATCCCTGGTAGCACGCTGGTCGATGTTTCTCTCTCATTGACGTTTCTAGTTCTCTATCTCTCTCCCTTTCTCTCTGTTAAAAATCAATAAAATATATATTAAAAAAAAGAAAGAAAGAAAGAAAGAAAAGGACATACTAAAGATCAGAGCAGAAATAAATGACACAGAAACTAAAAATCAATGAAACCAAGAGCTGGTCCTTTAAAAAGATAAACAAGATTGATGAATCTTTAGCCAGACTCATCAAGAAACAGAGAGGACCCAATTAATAATTAAAACAGAATCAAAAGAGGTAACAACTGGTTGAGGCACGTACAGGAGGCAATCAATCAATTTGTTTCCCTCCCTACCTCTCTGATATATGAAAAAATCTCCTTGGGTGAGGATAACAAAAAAAAAAAAAAAAAAAAAAGGAGCAAAGGACCTAAATAGAACATATAGATGGCTAAGAGACAAGAAAAAAATGCTCAAAGTCACTGATCATCAGAGAGATGCAAATTAAAACAACAATGAGTTATCACCTCACACCTGTCAGAATGGCTACCATCAACAAATGTCAAGTGCTGGCAAGGGAACACTAGTTCACTGGTGGGAAGGCAGATTGGTGCGACCATTACAGAAAAGTAAGCATGTAACTGCTCTTTGACCTAGTGATCCCAATTCTAGGAATATATCCTAAGAAATCTGAAACACCAATCAGAAAGAATGTATGAACCCATATGTTCATAGCAGCACAAGTTACAATAGCTAAGATCTGAAGACAGCACAAGTGCCCATCAGCAGATGAGTGGATAAACTGTGGTACATTTACACCGTGGAATACTATGCAGCAGTGAAATAAAAAGGATCTCTTAACCTTTGAGACAGTATGGAAGGACCCTGAGATTATTATGCTAAGCAAAATAAGCCAGAGAAAGACAAGTATCACATGATCTCACTCATGTGGAACATAATAAACTACTGAACAAAGTAGGTCCAGAGACATAGAAGCCTGGAACAGAATTTTGAATATGAGGAAAGGTGGGGTGGGTGGGAAGAGATCAACCAAAGAACTTGTATGCATATACAATTTATAAACTTGGACCCCATGGACATAGATAATAGGGTGGTGGAGGCTTGGGACAGGGGATAGGGATGGGCTATGAGGAGTCAATGGGAGAAAAAAAGGGGACAAATGTAATACTTTCAACAAAAAAGATTTTTAATAATAAAATAAATAGTAATTGTATTTCATATTAAAAAATGAAAGATAATCTAAACAAAATTAGTAAAAAATACTATAAAAATATCTTTAAGTAACATTTAAACAGAGAACCGAATGACAAGGAGACAACTCAGCAAGTCAGAAAAAGACACCACCAAGTTTAGGTAATAATTGACTCCAAATCCCAAGGTAAGTAGAGGTTGGTTTACGAGGAATACAAACATGGCCAGGTTAGAAAGAGCTAGACTGAGGGGAGTGGTAGGCAGTAGTGACCAGGTGATCAAAATTGTGCACATCACTTCCCACTTCATCCTTTCTTTCATCTAGCCCAGTGGTTGGCAAACTCACTAGTCAACAGAGGCAAATATCAACAGTACAACGATTGAAATTTCTTTTGAGAGCCAAATTTTTAAAACTTAAACTTCTTCTAATGCCACTTCTTCAAAATAGACTCGCCCAGGCCGTAGTATTTTGTGGAAGAGCCACACTCAAGGGGGTCAAAGAGCCGCATGTGGCTCTCAAGCCACAGTTTGCCGACCACGGATCTAGCCCTTTTCCATTCCTTGTTTTCCTTCCCCTTCTTGCTTAGGTTTAAATATATTAAATAACCAATATATCTACAGCTCTACTAGCTTTTAATACTCTATTTATAAAACCAAATCAAATCAATGGGCGGTTACTAAGAACCTGGGTGGAACATAGGGTGACCAAGAAAGTTCCACGTCACAGGAACCCTCTCAGACCCAGGCAATGTAGCTGTTTGGTCAGGCTAGCAGAATATAAGGACACCCAGAAAGTACAGCTTTTTTGAACCCCTTAAGGCTAAGTGATAATAACATAACAATAACTAAGCATTTATTAAATACTTAACACTTAATGACTATAAAGGCACTTAATTCAATCCTTAAAGCAACTCTTTTAAATCTGTTTCACAAATGAGGAAACTAAGGCTTACTGAAGCAAAGATTTCCCAAAGTCCCCAATAGTAAGGCACAAAGCCAGGACCAAAGGATAAAATATAAAAAGGTAAACCCAAATTTTGTGGCTCATTGGTTTAGCGCTGGGCTATGAACCAGGAGGGTGTGGTTCGGTTCCTGGTGTACAAGGCCTCTTCCTCCTTAAAGTCCAAACTCCACAGTATTTAACATCTGACATCCTCTGGTTCCTACCATTCTATACTACTGTTTCCCTCACAAAACCTACACGGCTGTCAAAACAGAAAACCAGTTCAGCTGGTGTGGCTCAGTAGCTGAATGTCAACCTACGAACCTGGAGGTCACTGATTCCTTGTCAGGGCACATGCCCGGTTTGTGGGCTTGATCGTCAGTGTAAAGTGTGCAAGAGGCAGCTAAGTAGTCATTTTCTCAACACTGATTTTTCTCTGAAATCAATAAAAATATATTAAAAAACCAATACAAAACAGAAAACCATAACCTGAACATATTCTGCATGTTTCTCCAATGCATGGCCTTGCTCACTATTAAGCAGCTAAATATTGCCGAAACCAGTTTGGCTCAGTGGTAGAGCGTCTGTCTGTGGACTGAAAGGTCCCGGGTTCGATTCCGGTCAAGGGCATGTAACACTGGTTGCGGGCACATCCCCAGTAGGTGGTGTGCAAGAGGCAGCTGGTTGATGTTTCTCTCATTGACGTTTCTAGCTCTCTATCCCTCTCTCCTCCTCTCTGTAAAAAATCAATAAAAAATATATTAAAAAAAAAGCTAAATATTATAAGCTAAACCAAGCTAAGTATTATTTCTCTACCCAACCAAGCTGAATATTATTTCTCTTTTCCTTGCATTTCCCAAAGCATTCTGTTTCTATTTTCACTTAAGACACTCAAAGGTAGGTCTGGCCCCAAGTAAGGTGTTGAACCCTACAGGGGCAATAAAGATGAACGTCTCAGCCTCAGATAAACAGAGAACAGAAGTACAAAGCTGTCAGCTTTTTAGGGAATCAGCAAAATAAATCTAACTACCAACCCTAAATGGAATACAAGGAAGAAGTACCTTTGCTGAGCATTAGCAACTATAACACCAGCCATCAAAAGGCAGGTGAAAGCATGTGTAGTATATTCAGTTTGTAGTTCTCCTGATTCATGTTTCCAAACTGCTTTTAGTCTGTTAGCTGTGACTGCTTGTAAGGCAAATGCTTTCCAGATGGAAAACTTGACTGAGTAGAAAACAAGAACTTGTGCCGCATATCCACTGAACAAGGATTTAATTTTTTAAAGGAATCTCAAAATTTTTTAAAGGAATCTCTGCCTTTCAATTCCAGGATCTAGGAGTAAAATACTGATGTGTGAATAAAATTAGAATATCATCTGGGATGTAATTAGACACTTGGCAAACCTTACCATTACAGTATGTGGAGGTACAGAATGAAACTATAGATTTGGGTTGAGAGGCCACAGGGATCTGTAAATATCAGGGCAACTATATATAAAGCAAATATTTTTGTTTAAGATGAAACAAAAGTTATTAGAAAGCTACATCAGCCAAAACCAGTTTGGCTCAGTGGATAGAGCGTCAGCCTGCGAACTGAAAGGTCCCAGGTTCAATTCCGGTCAAGGGCATGTACCTTGGTTGGGGGCACATCCCCATTAGGGGGTGTACAGGAGGCAGCCGATCGATGATTCTCTCTCATCAATATTTCTAGCTCTCTATCCCTCTTCCTTCCTCTCCATAAAAAGTCAATAAAATATATTTTTTTAAAAAGCAAAGCTCTTCAGAGAAATAAACTATAAAGTGAAAAACTTATCAGGTCTAATGCAAAATCTGTTATACCACCAAAGATACAATAGAATACGAAAAAGGTATACTTCAAAATATAAATTACTAGAAAATGTCAAAAATGCATCAATTCCTGTTTTAAATGGTGTGATCTCAAAAAGAAACATTTTCCTACTCACTAAAATGGGTACTAGAAGATATAATGGTTGTTCCTTTTCTTTCCATTTATAGTTAGAAAGTTTTTGTATCCTGTAGTCAAAAATACACTGCCCTAACTGGTTTGGCTCAGTGGATAGACCGTTGGCCTGAGGACTGAAGGGTCCCAGGTTCGATTCCAGTCAAGGGCATGTACCTTGGTTGAGGGCACATCCCCAGTAGGGAGTGTGCAGGAGGCAGCTGATGGATGTTTCTCTTTCATCGACGTTTCTAGCTCTCTGTCCCTCTCCCTTCCTCTCTGTAGAAAATCAATATAATATATTAAAAAAAAAAACACGTAAGAAACGAATTCTGAATCAAAGTTAAGAGATGCACTTTTTAAACTTCCTGATGAAGCATGGAATGAAGGCGGTAGAAAACCTGGAAGAGGAAGGAATGCGTGTACCACCCTTTCTTCGCACTGTTTTCACAGCCTCCCCGCCGGACCCATCAGGAAGGAAGGGCAGCCAGGTGTGTCCCCTCAAGACCTCACGGAAATGCTCCCGAAACCTCCTCCTCCTCCTCCTCTGCGCTAACGGCTCTTTCCCGCTCTCCTGCCCGGGCAGGCCACTAACGGCTCCTCCTCCCCTTCCTCCCCCCCATTCCCGGCTTATGGGGCACATCACCTTTTCCTTATCCATCCCTCCACACCTCGGGCGGCGCAGGACCCTCTTACAACTTCCTCCAAGTTTCTCGCAGGCGAAATTCCTCCGGGCGCCCCGACCAGACCCCCAAGTTCTCAGGGTCCATTTCCAAACCTCCGGCTCGCAGCTGTGAACCCTCCAAACGCACATATTCCAAGCACGAAGGCTGCCCGGCCTGTCCGGTCCCCCACATTTCCATAAAGTCTCCCCCGTCCTGTCCGCCCCCGCCCCCGCCCCCGGGCCCCCCAATCCAAAGTCAGCTTTGCCTGGGTCTATCCGGGTCGCGCAGGGCGACCCCCAAGAGCTAGGCCCGCGCCGGAGCGCGGTAACGTCCGCCTCGGAGGACGCCACCCCGCCCCCTTCCACCCTCGGGCGCTCGCCGTCCCGACTCCCGGCGCGCGGCGAGAGACCCGGCGCGGGAAGGGCGCGGGGTCCGCTCCCAAGCCCGGCGGCGAGCCGGGGGCCCCTCACCCGGGATTCCCGCCGCCGCCGCCGCCGCCGCCGCGCACCCCCCGCCGCTCCCCCGCCTCTAGCGGACTCCTTACCTCAGAGCAGCGCCCAAAAGCACGAGAGGAATCGGTGCTGCGCTACCGGCGCGTCACGTCTGGGGGGGCCGGAGGAGTGGCGCCCACAAAAGCAGCAGGCCGAGTGGCTGCGGGCGAGCCCCTCGCTGAAGCGGCGTACCGCAGGCCCAAGCCAACGGCCCTCTCCGTAGCCGAACAAAAGAGCCTCACTCTGCGCTGCCCGCCGCCCGCACTGCGCAGGCGCGGCGACCTGCCGCACTGCTCTATGGGATACAAAGTCGGCCCGGGACTACAAGATCCAGGGGGCCGCGCGCGTCTGACGCCGCCGCGCTCGAGGATTTCAGGGAGTTTTAGTTTTTAAACTGCCAGGTGTTGGGATGGGGGGGAGTGTCGTTTAGAAGCTTGTTGCCTAGAAAATGGGAGCGTGTGCTTTTATAAGCAGGTCCCTTGATGCTTGGTCCGAAAGATGAACCCCTTCTGGAGAGTAATGCACATTTCTCAACATTTTTTAATCTTAGCAGGTTTCTCACCAGAACTTGACAAAATCTCCAATAATCTCTGAAATCCTTAATCGCCTCCTCAAGTTTCTGTAAGGCTCCTACTTCTCAGCCTTTAGATTACTTTCCTTGGGAGGGCTTCCCTGACTCATTAGACCAAGCGTGTCAAACTCAAAGGCTAACACGGGCCAAATAAACAAGGTTTAAGTTTATGTGGCCCACAAAAAAACAAAAGCTTCAGTTTTCATAGAAATGTAGGTTTATATTGATAGACATGCTGAATACAAAGGGCTGAAATAAATGAGTCATCGTTCATGTAAAATAATAGAACATTTAAATAAAAAATAATATTCTTTCTTAAACATTAACTTACCAGATACTGAAGAACTGCACAAATTAATAAGCGTAACACAAATAAACCTATTTTTTTTTTGTTCAAAATATTTCCTGTTTCGCACATCAAACAAGTTAGTCCAAAAATACTACTATTCACTGCCAGTATTAATGGAGAGAAATGGTGCACTTGCGTGTAAGGCCCAAAAGGGAACTGAATGCAACAAGATTCATTATTAATAATTATGTATAGCACTGGCCTGTTTGGCTCAATGGATGGAGCGTTGGCCTGCGGACTAAGGGGTCCCAGGTTTGATTCTGGTCAAGGGCATGTATTTTGGTTGCAGGCACATCCTTGGTGGGGGTGTGCAGGAGGCAGCTGATTGATGTTTGTCTCTGATTGATATTTCTAACTCTCCCTCTCCCTTCCTCTCTGTAAAAAAAAAAAAAAAAATCAATAAAAAATATTTTAAAAATAATTATGTTTAAGCCGAGACGGGTTTGGCTCAGCGGATAGAGCGTCGGCTTGGGGACTGAGGGGTCCCGGGTTCGATTCCGGTCAAGGGCATGTGCCTTGGTTGCGGGCATATCCCCAGTGGGGGGTGTGCAGGAGGCGGCTGATCGATGACTCTCTCTCATCGATGTTTCTAACTATCTCTCTCCCTTCCTCTCTGTACAAAATCAATAAAATATATTTTAAAAAATTATGTTTAAGAGGATATTATAAAAATTAAGTTACAAAATTTTTATTAAAACATTTCTTACATACCATTATATTTGCTGGACCACAAAAATATTCGTTATTGGGCCACATGTGGCCCACAGGCTGAGAGTTTGACATGCTTGCTTTAGACTATGTTAGGTCCCTCTGGTAGTGTCATCATGGCATCTTGAATTTACCCTTTTTATTATCTGTGCCAAAGGATAGCATTAGCAAAGAATCCCCTTATCTTCATGCGCACTCCACCCAGTCACCCCAAAGAAATAAACAGGGAGAAACCATGCTTGTGTCTAAGGTTCAGAAATAGCCAAAGAAAAACCAATGAATCATAAGTAGTAATTAGTAAACATTTATTGTGCACTCAGGTTGAAAGAGTTTGTAAACTGGGAGTACTCAAACCAAAACATGGAATGAGACCTAACCGGTTTGGCTCAGTGTTTAGATAGCATCTGCCTGCTGACTGAAGGGTCCCAGGTTTTCCGTTCAAAGGCGCATACCTTGGTTGCAGGCACATCCCTAGGAGGATGTGTGTAGGAGGCAGCTGATTGCTGTTTCTCTCATTGATGTTTCTAATTCTCTATCCTTCTCCCTTTCTCTGTAAAAATTAAATAAAATATATATTTAAAAAAACATGGAATGAGACTTAGATGTATATTGTTGTAAAGCATTACATTAGTTATTACAGCAATGACTGTCTATTCTTCATAGTTATTAGTTACAATATTAGAGTTTTCTTAAATGATAGAGAATTGGTCAGTGCTTAACTCATATCAACTTTGGGAAACAGTTCAAATTTTGCTTATTATCTATGCCAAAGGAGGCATAAACAAGAGACTCAGGCCAAGTTAGTCTTACAAAGTAAGCTAAGCCAGGCTAGCATTGCTCAGTGGGTGAACACTGACCTACGAAGTAGGGGGTTACGGTTCAATTTCCAGTCAGGTCACATGCCCAGTCCGCAGGCAGATGTTCTATCCACTGAGCCAAATCAGTTTTGGCTATTTTTAATTTTTTAAGAAACTGCCATACTGTTTTCCACAGCGTCTGCATCAGTTTACATTCCTACCAATTAGTGCAGAAGGGTTTCAATTTCTCCTCTCTAGTTGCTTTCAATTTTTTTTAATGGTAGCCATCCTAATGGGTATGAGTCTTTGTTTCATTTTGATTACTATACTTTGAAATTCTATTGTTAAAGATTTATTCATTTGGGGTTAACAATCACTCTTTTAAGAGGCAAATACACTTAAGAGCTTTTACTTCCCCATCCTGTCTGCTTTGCACTTGACTGCCAGGTAATAATGGACGGTAATTAGAATCTACACTTCTCAAATCCTCCACCCATATCCCGGACATTGATTAGTTTTCTCAGAGAAGGGATCACTGCTTGGAGAGGTACTTATATAATTTGCTAGCATTTCTGGTATGATAAGGATTGACCTATTATCAAGTGTTGGAAATTATTGTTGACAAAATAAGCTCGAGATAGGGGATCAACTGTTGTAAAACCTGTATTACATTCAAATTATTTAATACATGTATTAATATTCCAAGTGGGTGATGCAAAGCTAAGACCTTATATTCTTTTTTGTTTGTATAACAAACATAAGCTCCAGGAGGTGAGAATATTTTCTTTTTCTGTTTGGCTCACTGCCAAAAACAGTTCTCAGCTCATGGAAAGGGTTCAATAAATGTTTGCTGCCAAAACCGGTTTGGCTCAGTGGATGGAGCATGGGCCTACCCACTGAAGGGTCCCAGGTTCAATTCCGGTCAAGGGCATGTACCTTGGTTGCGGGCACATCCCCAGTGGGAGGTGTGCATGAGGCAGCTGATCAATGTTTCTCTCTCATCGGTGTTTCTAACTCTCTATCCCTCTCAATTCCTCCTTGTAAAAAAAATCCATAAAATATATTAAAAAAATATTTGCTGATCGGATGGATACATACTGCAGATATACTTGTGGTTCTCCACGTGTAATCCATAGAGTCTGAGCGTGCCAGAGACAGTTCCAGAGAGTCTGTATGGTCAAAATTATTTTCCTAGTAAAATGAAGACATTACTTGATCTTTTCCATTGTGTTGACATTTTCACTGATGGTACAAAAGTAACAGTGGGTGAAACTGCTGGCACCTTAGCATGAATCAAGGAAGCGTGGCATCAACTTATAGTAGAGTCATTGCATTCTTCACTGCTATACTTACGCAAAAGAATTAAAAATGTCACTCTACTCAATAATTATTAACAAGTGTAGTTAGAGTTCATAAAATATATTATCTTTACATGTAATGGCTTATTATTATTGGTTTAGGTTAATTAATAAATGTTTAAAAAATCTTTAATAATGTATTGAAGTGACATTTGTTAATAAAATTATATAGGTTTCAGGTATACAATTCTATAATACATCATCTGTATTGTGTGTTCGCCACCCCCCCAAAAAAGCTTTTAAATTTCTTCATTTTAATTTCTAACTTGGTGACTATCCCACATAAACAAAAGCTCCTTGGGGGTCCTGAATGATTTTTAAGAAAGTAAAGGAATCCGGAGATCAACAAGTTTGAGAAAAGCTGCCCTGAAGGATGCCAATAATCTTCACTTTAGAGATGAGGAAATTCAGACTCGCAAAGATGGAGGACCACCAGTTCAAGGCCACGGGCTCAATGTGATGCTGGGTAGTCTCTAGCCCTTAGCTCCAGAGCCCGTTTTGGTGACTTCACTTTTTCCTTGCTTGATGTTATCTTTGCTAACATAATCGTTAAATTGGTAGTCGGAAAACATTTCAACAACATGAAAAAGTCTTCATCACAGTCAACGGATGGTTCCTTCTCACTAACTAGCAGCACCGTGCTCCTTTGGGCTTGTCTCGGCGAGTGAAGCGCGTGCGCGCGCGTGTGTGCATGCGTGTGTGAAGCGTGCATGTGTGTGAAGCGTGTGTGTGGTGTGTGTGTGTGGAGTGTGTGCGCGCGCGCCCGTGTGTGAGTGTGGTGTGTGTGGTGTTTGTGTGGTGTGTGTGTGTATTGTGTGTGGAGTGTGTGGTGTTTGTGTGTGTGTGGTGTGTGTATGTGTAGTGTGTTTGTGGTGTGTGTGGTGTATGTGCATGCGTGTGTAAAGTGTGTGTGGTGTGTGTATATGTAGTGTGTTTGTGGTGTGTGTGAAGCATGTGTGTGGTGTGTGTGTGTGGTGTGTATGGGGTGTGTGTGTATGTGTGTGGTGTGTATGGTGTGTGTGGTGTATGGGGTGTGTGTGTATGTGGTGTGTGTGTGCATGTGTGTGTGAAGCGTGCATGTGGTGTGTATATGTGTAGTGTGTTTGTGGTGTGTGTGAAGCGTGTGTGTGATGTTTGTGTGTGGTGTGTGTGTATGTGTAGTGTGTTTGTGAAGCGTGCATGTGTGTGAAGCGTGTGTGAGTGTGTGGGGTGTGTGTGTGTGTGTGTGTGTGTGTGTGGCCGCGCCATTTCGGTCCGGGCTTTCGCACTGACAACCTGTGCTCTGAGGAGCCCGGTCTTGGAGACCATCCGCCGGGCCCGCGGGGACTCTGGGACGTGGCGAGGCTCCGGAAGGCGGGGCGCCGTCTCCCGACCCCGGAGCCCCGGCCCGCGCTCCGACCCCGGAGCCCCGGCCCGCGCTCCGACCCCCGAGCCCCGGCCCGCGCTCCGACCCCCGGAGCCCCGGCCCGCGCTCCGACCCCCGAGCCCCGGCCCGCGCTCCGACCCCCGAGCCCCGGCCCGCGCTCCGACCCCGAGCCCCGGCCCGCGCTCCGACCCCCGAGCCCCGGCCAGCGCTCCGCCGGCGGAGAGCGCGCGGACAGCTCCGCCCCCGGCGGGGCCCTCTAAGCCCTTTAAGGAAGCCCCTGGCCGCTGATTGGCCGGCCCGACTGCGCGGGGCGGGCCCGGCCCGCACGGCGCCTCAGAACCCCGCGGTCGCCCCTCACCGGCGCCCCGGCAGCTCCCGGAGTGGGCGGTTCGGGTCCCCGCCTGCGGCCAGGGCCCGGCCGGAACCCAGCGCGCCTCCGGGGCGGTGGGTCCCGCTGAGAGGCCGGGCCTGCGGGGCGGGGCGTGCCGGCGCCGCTCCCGGCGTGCACTGGGGCCCGCATCACCCGGAAGGAGAAGCGGGGCCGGCTCCATGGGGGCGCGGGCGCCGGGGCGAGCGGGTGCTGCTCTCAGGTGAGGGGCGCGGGCGGGCCGGGCCGCGGAGGCAGGTCCTACTCAGTGCGGGCTGCGGGGTTAAGCGTCTGCCATGGCGCGTGGGATGGGGACTTGGCTTGGCTTCCTAGGGGCTGTCTCACCTGCTGGAATAAAGGCTGGTCCTTGCTCGAGACCCAGGGAAGGAAACCCAGCTTTTCCATTTACTATTATTATTATTAATTATTATTACTATTGATTTGAGAGAGAGAAACATCACTTTGTTCAACTTATTTATACGTTCACTGCTTGTTTCTTGTATGTGCCCTAACCCTGGGATGGAACTCAAAACCTTGGCATATCAGGTAACCAACTGAGCTAGCCCGCCAGGGCCTTCTGTTTATTTCTAAAGAAGTATAAAGCGTCTTCCCTTCCCACTCTCCAAGCTTAATAGGCAAAGGAGAGAGACGACGTGGCCCTTTGCTCCTGGGTGGTTAAGAATGCAGGGGGGCTGGATGTGGCCGGAATAAACAAGTTTGGGGGCATTTACCCAAACGGTTAGGACGATGGGTGTTAGTAAGTATTTTAGATTGTGGTCGTCTCTGTGACTTACCCCCTAAGTGGAAGGATTGGCAAATTACAGAGGGACGCAAGAATGGAGCACAGCTGGTTGGTTGAGAACACACCGAGGTTGGTCAGAGGTTGGTCTGACCGAGGAGGCTTCTTCTGCCACCTGTGGGTGTTCAGGAAGAAGAGCTTTTTGAGTTGCCCACTGGCTCTGGCATGAGTTAGAATGGATGGAAGTCTCCGTGGCTCAGTATACTTTTACCACCTGATTGGTTTTTTTTGTGTGTTTTTTTTTAACTTTCTCTTGTAGTATTTTAAACGGGTGTGAAAATGGTGGCATTAAAGCCTTGCATTGTTATGACATTGGAAAGCTTTACAGAGAATCTGCTTTGCAAACAGCAAACAGCTCGGTTCTCGCGGGAGGTCTTGGTTCTGGTACAGGTGGAGAAAGTAAAGGAAACTTCCGATGCGATTGAATGGACCCCAGACATGGAGTTAGCACGGAGTTGCACAAGTAGCTGACTTAATCACGGACTCTGTTCTTATGTGGGTGACAGGGATCCGTCTCCCAGATCATAGAGCTGCAGTTCACTTCCCTTTTCCCCTCCAAGGAACTGAGCGTCTTCTCCTTCTGAGGAGTGGCATTCTGGGGAGGAAGCTAATGGAGAATAGAAGTTGCTAGAAGTTATTCCTTGAAGTCTAGGTGTTTGTATTTATTCCAGTGTGTGTTTTTTAAAAATATTTTTATTGATTTCAAAGAGGAAGGGAGAAGGGGGAGAGAAATAGAAATATCAATGATGAGAGAGACTCATTGCTTCATGATCGAGGCTGCAACCCAGACATGTGCCCTGAAGTCGAACCCGGGACCTTTTGGTTCATGGGATGACGCTCAATGCACCGAGCCACCACAGCCAGGGTGTTCCAGTGTGTTTTTAAGGAAAGTTAAAATGGAAACTTTCTTAGTGACCTTAACTTTTATTTCCTCCGCATTTTAGATTCAAGTACACAGCATCTTTGGGGTCCTAGGATTTTTTTTTTTTTTAAGCCTGTTTATTGCTATTTGTTTCTCAGCGGTATGAGCCCCAAGAGGAACTTGCGCATGGAGGTGGTGCAAACTCTTCTTGAGTCCAAGAGTGGTGACCGTTTAGTTGCTCAATTGTAGTCCTTACTTTGGCAAACCTTTCAAGGCACAGGAGATGCCTGAGCTCCACCGAGCTTGTGGGTGGCTATGGCTTCCTTGGCATTGTCTTTCCTGTTGTTACTTTTGTGCAAAGACAGTTCAGCCTCTTTTACCTCTGCTCCTGTGCTGGCAGTGTACCCAATGCCCGAAAAAAAAAAAAGAGAGAGAACTGTATTTACATCTGAGGAGATGAATTGGTCACAGTGAGTCGGCCTTTTTGGTCACAGGCATTTGACTACTTACATAGAGACTTTGCACATCAGTTGTTATGGCATCGATATCACCTACCTTTCCGCTAAGGACCCCTTGGCAATGGTGCCTGCATCAGATGGAAAATCAGATTGTCAGCAAGAATATCGTTTACGATGATATTGCCATCATAAAACCTCCGGTCGGCTCGGCGGTGTAGCCCAATTTTGTCACGTGCCATGCAGTTTCGTCTCTGAGTAGTGCAGTGTCTGTGTGCGGAGAGACCTGGTGTACTGGAAATGATTGGAAAAGCTGTTTGCTCCGCAAATTTTGTGGTGTAAATGAGTTTCCCGTCTCCTGAAACATTTGCCTTGTGTTAGCAAAACATAAGATAGGAGGAAACTCATTACACACTCTTGTAATGGTAAGGCAGAACTAATAAGGGAATGTGTTTAAAATTAATTGCGGGAATGTGAAAATGAGTGGGTGCGGGTGGGCGGGGGGAGGAGAGGGAGAGCTCAGAGATAGTCTTGTTCTCCCAGGAGCCAGCGGGATCATTTGTTGGCAGTACGTATTGGCTGAAGTCAGTTTTCATTTCAAGGTAAATTGAAAAGGGAAATTAAACCTTATTGTTCCGCTCTTAGGAGAGGAGAAGGGGGTGCAGGTGGCAGCCAGGGGGAGGCTGTTGGAGTGGTTCTAGGAGTAATAAGATTAGTGCTGTATTTTAACAGAAGGTGACATCATGGGCCCCTCTGGGCTGAAACTTTCATGGTCCCCTTGTCGGGGCGGGCCATGTTGCCGCACATGCACACGGCCACCCTGGGGGAAATCAGCAGCTTAGGCCTTAATGAATCTTTACAAAGGAGTAGAAACATCCTGAGGCGACCTGGGCAGCTGTGGGACCTTTGGGCAGAGGCACATGTCCAGCCAAGAAATAATTAGAACCATTGGCTTGGGTTCTGGAGAACAGATTAGAGAAGGGAAATCAACACTGGGCAGCCCATTCTGGTGCTCCGGCTGCTCTCTAGCTCAGATTATCTCTGGGGAGGTGACTGGACAAGTTGGCAAGACAAAGACAGGAGCCCTGCTGCTTTGTGGGGGTGGCTGTCTCTGGACAGCCAGGAGGGGGCGATGTTGGGCTCACTCGCACAGCTGTGCTGTGTGCCCCCACAAGACACTGCTGGGCCTGCGGACTGCAGGCAGAGAGGGTTTGCAGTGGAACCTTGTTGCTTGAGGTGAACACTGCACAGACCCAAACGTGCTTTGGCTAGAGGTGGCCTACTTAAGGGTTTGGGCCATGGTTTTAAAAGGGAGGCAAGCCCCCCAGGACCTGTAGGTGTAAGAAAGCTAATGTGGTGGAATTTTTTTGCTTCCTCTTAAGTTGTACGTACGAATGAAAAAAGGTGCCTGGTTTTCCCCAGGAGGGGCGATTGAAGTTTTTCAGGGTTTTTCCGTGGTAAAGAGTGATAGGAATAGAAGCACACTAACCATGATCGTTCCCTTGTCATTTGTATCTCATCAGATGTTTTCTTCCAATGGACTTTTGATGTAGGATGTTGGAGAACCAAGAGCAGGAGGTAAGCATGTGGTCTCCACAGAGCAGGTGGGTAAAAGGTTGAGGGGATTTGGGAAAAGGTGCGAATCATTGCTTCGTGGTATCTTTCTGACAGCCAGGAGAGGGCAGTCAGAAGTGAAGGCATTTCAGGGAAATGAGATTCCATTTTGACTAATTTTTCCATTTCTTACACTGTACTAGAATGTAAGCTACATGAGGGCAAGACTTTGTCTCTTGTTCATGTTCTACCCTCAGTGTCTTAGAAAAGTGTCTGACAATGAATGGGTCAATTCATATTTGTTGAATGAATAAATGAACAGATGAATGAAAGTTGCTGCTGTCTGTCTGTCTGGGAAAACATCTGGCAGCCTGTGTTGTGTCAGCTTCTGAAGCTGAAGGAGCATTTCTTGTCCCCAGGAGGTGATCACGGTGCGTGTTCAGGACCCCCGCGTGCAGAATGAGGGCTCCTGGAACTCTTACGTGGATTATAAGATCTTCCTCCACGTAAGTGCATCACACCTCTGTATCAGGACCAACATCTGCCAGGGCTGAGGGAGAGTGCTGAGACAGAACCTTGTGTGTGGATGTTTTGACAGGCCCGAGGCAGAAGAAAAGGAGGGAGGAGAGGAACAAGAGCATGGGGTGTGCCTGAGAGTGGACTGCCAGGCTGCCTGGTGGCATCTTGCTCTGGTTGGAGCCCCTGATCAGGACGGTGGCCTCGTGGCTTACGTCCTCAGGGAGTTCTTGTGATACTGATCTTTCCCCATTCAGTCCTTTGCTGTGCTTTGTCCTGTAGACCAACAGCAAAGCCTTCACTGCCAAGACCTCCTGTGTGCGTCGCCGCTACCGTGAGTTCGTGTGGCTGAGAAAGCAGCTACAGAGAAACGCCGGTTTAGTGTGAGTCTGCTCTCGCTTCCTTCTTGGGTCTGAGACTGGCTTTTTATGTACTTACTTGGGGATTAGAGTTTATAATGAGGAAAACATGGCAACATGCCAGGCACTAAGGACACGGAGAAATCTGTTTTTAAATTATGTTTTCAAATTAGTGAAAAAAAAGTAATGAACAGAGTTTTTATTTCTAGTTTTTTGACCTAAGAGTGCCATAGAAATGTAAAAAATATTTTTCTTTTTTGGTATATATTAGTCTAGGGATAAACAAATGTTCTGCTAGCATTTTAAATGTGCCTATTATTGGTTATCACCTGGACTTACTTAATAGGTGGTGATGCTGTCCATTTGACTTGTAAAAAATGTGGTGTGTGTGTGTGTGTATGTATGTGTATGTATGCATGCGGGCATGCAAAGACCTTTTCCCAGAGACACACAGACTGAGAGCCTTAAGAAAGAGTACTATTCACTCCTCACCTACACCTCCCAAATAAATCTAAAAACTGAAGACAATTTAGAATAGTGATTCCACTACAGAATGGTCACTGAATGCTCTGGTGACGGGCGGCCTGTTGATGACCTAGCCAGTTAATGACCTTTGGGACTGATGAGGCCATTGTCATGGGTCAGGCCCTCATAAGCCGGTTGGAAATTCCCCTGAAAAGTTGGGCACCTCTAGCCTTGTTGTTTTTCGTTGTTGTTAATCCTCACCCGAGGATATTTTCCCATTGATTCTTTTTAGAGAGAGTGGAAGGTAAGTGGAGAGACAGAGAGAGAGAGACATCAGTGTGATAGAGACACATGGGTTGATTGTCTCCTTGTATGCATCTGACCGGGGCTGGGGATCTGAGCTAGGGATTGAGCCTGCAACCAAGGTATGTGCCCTGGACTGGAATTGAACAGGTGATTCTTAGTTCATGGGTCGATGTTCAACTCCTGAGCAGCACAGGCTGGGCAGTAGCATGGAGTTTTGAAGCTATAGATTTGGTTCAAATATCAGCTCTGTGTGGCACTGGAAAATTTTCTCAGCTGCTCTGATTCTTTTCCTTGCTAGTAAAATGAGAACACTAATATCTTTCTCATGGAGTTTGGAAGGATTAGTGAGATAAGGTTTGTAAAACACGTAGCGTAGTGCTTGAAACATGGTATGCAGTGAGTCATTGTTAGCTTCCCACCCTTCCACCTTATTAAAAGCTATTTGTATGGATGTGTGCCTCTTTTTAGAGGATGGCCCTGGATCAGGGCTGACATGATTGTCTTGCATGTTACCCTTATCTCATGTGTTACATTATGTGACTTCACAGGCCTGTACCTGAACTTCCTGGGAAGTCAACCTTCTTTGGCAGCTCAGATGAGTTCATTGAGAAGCGTCGACAAGGTCTGCAGCATTTCCTCGAAAAGTGAGTGAACATGCCAGCTAGTCCTTGCCTCCTGTGGTAGGGCAGGGAGGGGGGAAGGTGACAGGCGGGACATTTGGGGTAGAACCTTTTTTTGTACTCTTCATGCTCACTCAAGCCAGAACCCTACAGAAGGGGGCGGGGGGGTTTGGGGCCTGGCCGGCGTGGCTCAGTGGTTGAGCGTCGACTTATAAACCAGGATGTCATGGCTCAATTCCCAGTCAGGGCACATGCCCAAGTTACAGGCTTGATCCCCAGGGTGGGGCATGCAGGAGGCAGCTGATCAATGATTCTCTGTCATTGTGTTGCTATCTCTCCCTCTCTGAAATCAATAATTAAACATTAAAAAGAAGAAGAAGATGGGGTTGGGGAGAACAAAGCTTTAGGGTGATGCCTTACCTGTGTGCTGTCCTACCTGTGTTTGCCCTAGGGTCCTGCAGAGTGTTGTCCTCCTGTCAGACAGCCAGTTACACCTCTTCCTGCAAAGCCAGCTCACGGTGCCTGAGATAGAAGCGTGTGTCCAGGGCCAAAGCCGCACGACCGTGTCTGAGGCCATCCTTCGCTATGCCATGTCAAACTGTGGCTGGGCCCAGGAGGAGAGGCAGGGCCCTTCTCAGCTGGCTAAAGGGGACCAGCCCAAGAGGTAACTACAGCTCTCTTCTCTGAGACGCTGGGAGCGAGGGCGACTGTAACCTGGGCCAGCGAGGTGTCCATTCGATGGAGAAAGTGAAGTCACAGCATGGGTGGCCTTTCAGAGGAGGCCTTCTTCCCTCCTGCCTGGTTCTTAGTCAAGCACAAGGGGCGGTGTTTCCCGTCCCTGGGTAGCAGGCTCTCATAGAAACCTGGGAGAAAGAAGAGAGGCTTTCTTATGTCCTTTATCTCCCCCCTGCCCTTAAAATAACTTTACTGAGAATCAGTTCACGTCCCATAAATCCCACCATTTTAGTATACTCGTGCAATTCAGTAGTTTTTGTTCATTCAACAAAGTGGTGGCAACTGTTAATGACCATAGTTAATTTTAGAGCATTTTCATCACCCCAACAGAAACCTCGTACCCATTAGCATGATCCCCATTTTCCCCAACCCCTAGTTCCTGCCAACTAATCTATTTTGTGCGTCTCTGGATTTATCTATTCCGGACATCCTTTTATTTAGCATATTTTCAAGGTTTATCCATTTTGTAGTGTGTATCAGTACTTATTCCTTTTTACTTAAGGGCTCATAATCCATCCTTTTGTTTGTCGTCACTTGTTTATCCACTCATTTTGCTTATCTGTCCTTTCTTTTCCCTTTCCCACTCTTCCAGTTGCTGCTTTTTTCCAAGATCAGGCCGGAGGAGTTCTCCCTCGCCGCCTCCCGAGGAAGAAAAGGACCATTTTGCGGTGTGGGCTCCTGTTGTCGACTCGGAGGCTCCCTCCTCGGAAAGCCCCCCTCCGCGTCCCCCTACCTCACCCTCACGCTGTGACTTTGCAAGACCCGATGAAGGACTCTGCGCTCCCCCACCTGTGAGGAGGTCCATGGGAGGGGACCATGCTGTACCTTTGGATCCTAGCCAGTTAGAGACAGTTTTGGAAAAGTGAGCTCTGGGGCTTCTGCTCTGAAGTGGACAGAGAAGATGCAGGCAAGGAGAGGCAGGCACTTGGTGGGATTGGATGGGCCCAGGTGGGAGTTGGGCTACTTTGTGCTTTACAGTTGCCTCTGCTCAGGTTGGTCGCATAGAGGTTGGTCACAACAATTCCTTAAACGTCCTCCACGGGCATAGACCATATGCAGATGTTTGTACGTTCAGCATGAGATCCAGGGGCTGTTGCTTTAGAACAGAGTCCCATGTTTACTGTCTTAGAGCTGAGCTTCTTTAGATGTTTGTTAATGGGCCCATGAGCTCTGCCTCAGGTTACTAGTTTGGGGGGGATCTGTCAGTGGCGGGTTTTAAGCTGCCGTACGGAACATCATCCCGACAGCAATGCTTGTGTAGTGTGTTCCCACTGACTCTGTTTTGCCGCAGCACTTTGATTCTGGGAGGCTGGCCTCTTGCCTACCTCCTTGCCTGGACAGGGCGGTGAGTATTTATGCTCTCACCTCCTTGCTTTCCCTCCACTAATACCACTGGATGGAATGGTGCTGTGACTCCTGTCGCTAGGCTTTCCTGTGTATCCCAAGACCTCAGCCTGGCGGGGTGGGGCCTGAGAGCCACAGAAAAGGTCATGGCCGCCACAAAAGGGAGGTGGTGGTTTGCAGCCGGGGAAGGGCAAACAGCTCAGCGAGCTTTGTTTTGGAAAAGGCTGTCCCGGCTGCCGCTGCCTCTTGGTTATAACGCAGAGCCGTGAGCATCCTTCTGCAGGGGGAGAATGAGCTCCTTTCTCTTCTAAACCCTTCCCCCCCTCGGTAACAGCTTCCCGTCCCCAGGGCCTCCGCCACTACAGCGTCCCTCTGCTGAGTGGCAGGGAGGCCATATGTTCAGTCCAATGGGGCGCGAGGGCTTTGTTTCTTTCTGGAGAGAGGGCTCTAGGGATGGAGATGAGGAACGGCGCGCCTCCCTCAGACAATGAGGCGTCCTGCCCTCCTGCTGCCATAATTCCTCTCCGCTGGGAGCCAGCTTTGGGGGGATGCGTGCCGCCGGCACCCGGCATTGCTCTGCACTGCACTTGGGTTTGGTGTGGTTCTTCTCTCGCCCACTCTCCCTCCTGGCCATCCCGCTGTGCGCTCTCTTCCCAGCCTGCGCTGTGGGACTGTCATGGCATTTAGTTCAGAGTTGAGGGGCTTTGGCCTGAAATAAAATGCAACTATTGAAGACTGTTGTTGCAATTTGTGTCTAACAAGCTGTAGCAGAGAAGGAGGGAACGAAGGCTGGCACTAGTTACTTTCATAAATCATGAATCTATCAGCGTGGAAATAATGGTTCAGAGCTGTGCACTGCAGCGCCTGCATTGTGAGTGCAGCTCAAGTTCACCACTGGAGGAGGGACTGTCTTCCAAAGAGCCAGGATCCAGCTCTTCTCACAGGTCTGGGCATGAACCTTGTTAGGTATAATTTACCTGATGCTGCTTCCATCCTCGGTGCCAGGTGCTGAAAGAGAAATAAAGTTTGTCAACAGGCAGATGCAAAGCCCTGGCTGGGACTCATCCCTCTTTCCTGCCCACCTCCCCTGAGTCTCTCCTTTATGTGATGCAGCAGAGCAAGGCGAGTATAGAAAACCTACAGAGACAAATCCAAAATGTCAAAAGAAGTTCATTTAAAAAGGGGGGTAAAAAAACCTCCATACACAACCCTCACAAAAACCCGACAGATGCTAAGCTAATGGCATCCGTTCTGCTGATTGGTGGGGATGACTCATGAATATTAATGAGTCCACTGCTCCAAATGGTGCAGCTGTGAACCCAGCTGTGCCTGAAGCTCTCTGATCTCAAAACTTCCAGACAGGAGCCGGAGGTGGTCTGTGTCAATTCCCTACTCAGCCAAAACACAGCGAGCTGGGTTAGCCTTCTTCTGTTCGCTCCTTTCCGTCTGGAGCTGGTGCTCAGCAGCCAGTGCTGCCAGCAGGGTAGGCTGCTGGGACAGCAGGAGCCGTTCAAAGACACGAACGCAATTTTTCTGACTCCTGGCTTTTTTAACGATCCATTAACAGCAGTGTATATAACGGCACCTCAGTTAATCTAAGGCCACGCACCATCCCCTCACTGTCTGGTGCAGGGTTGAGTGTAGGCGATGGAAGGAGATGTGCTAAGAACGGAAACATTTTTCCAATCATACAGGCCTGGAGTTAGCAGAAAAACAGCAAAAATGGATTTCCTTCTTCATCCAGACAATGCCATTTGCCTTTATCAAGGTGTATTCTGTCCCTGTGTGTACTCGGGACTGGTGACCTCTGGCCTACTGAGCCGCTTTGTAGAAAGAAATTATTTTTTTGTTAGAATTCAGGATTGAGGTAGGTTCTATGACACCTTTCTCCCAACAGCTACTTCCATGGCCCAAGCCCAGCCCTCTTACTCAGGATGAGTGATCCCAAGTTCTTGGGTTTGGTTTTGTTTGGTGGAAGGAAGCGTGTGGAGGAGGGTGGAGAGGGAAGGGAATTCTCTTGTATGAAAATAGTAAGTTTCACATACATCATTTTTGACCTTGGTGCCCAATGAGGAGGGCAGAGCAATATTGTACTCATTTTCTAGCTGAGTAAACTTGAGTTGAGCTGAGCATGTTTTTTTAAAAAATGTTTTTAGATGATGGTAGAATATATTCATGTGAGGTCTTTTTCCAAGCTCTGTAAGACAACCCCCCCTCCCCGATTTTTTTTTTTTTTTAAATCTTAAACCACCACTAGTAAAAGAAAAACCACACTTCTCTTTTCAGTTAATCTTGGAAGTCAGAGCTCTTCACAGTTCTGTTTTCTGACTGCTAAGGCCTTCCATCCACACCACCAAGTCCTAAGCAACTCGTACCCTGTCTGGTAGCTTTGCTTGGGAGGTGATTGTGATTTTTTGACATTATTTGTGAATGTGTTTATGTGCCTTAGCTCTTGCTGAATATCCTTAACATCTACGGGTGAGGAGGACAGTGGGCCTGGAGGATGCGAGGTGGGATCGGAGGCAGAAATGGAAACACCAGCTCCCGGCCTGCCTCTCGGAGGCCGCAGGAGCATTCCGTCGGCTGGAGTGGCATCTGCGGATTGATGTGTGAGCAGCCAGCTGAGACTCGGTTAAAGCCAAGCAGATAATCACGGTAGTGTGAGATAGTGACTTCCTCAGTCGAGCTGGGGCACTGATCCTAAGCCACCCCTCCCGGGTGGCCCTCTGCCAGCAGGGACTTGGCTGTGTAGAGGGCACGTTGCCCAGCTCAAGGTAACCCTTTGAACTGGAGATGAGTGTCCCTGTTCCTGTTCTTACCACTGTACCTTCCTTCTTGAAGTCAGCAAACTTATTAGTCAACGAGCCGCAGTTTGCCCACCACTGCCTTCATCGATTTGGAAGCCCCCCCACCCACCTCTTCTCTCTCTCCTATTCCCTGCCTCAGCTCTTCTAAGGAGCTGTTTCAGGAACTGCTGCAAAGCCCAAGTACGCAGGCCTCTGGCTTCCCACAGGGCAGCAGGAGCCAGCCCTGACATCTTATTAGAGAAATAACTTGGGTGAAATCAGTTCCGCCTTAGTCATGGCTGGCTTCGAAACCGGAGTGCTGGAACCTCAACTCTCAAGATACAGTAAGTAAGGACAATTTATGCTCAAAGGAATACCAAGAGCCACACTCTTCAGGAGGCGGTGCTCCTGACTCAGTGAACAGAGTGATAATTTTACTTTTCATTAAGGCGAGACATGGCCCGCTTCCACAAGCAGAGGAGGGAAAAAACAAGGTGCTTATATGGTGGGGAAAGGGAGCCTGAATAGGAGGGAGAGGTGGTAAAGCCAGAGTGAGCAGAGGGCACCTGAAGGTCTTTAAGGATTTCCCCCCTGAAAGGGCAAGGACATGAGGCTTCTGAAATCTTCGGGTGATGGGAAGCCACCAGCCACAATCACTGTCTGTGGCTGTCAAGTCCCTCCTCTCTGTCCTTTCAGCCACTTTTTCCTTCATGCCATCTGATTGAAAGGGGCAGTTTTTTTGTTTCTAAAATTTTTTTTTAAAACATGTTTTATTGATTTTTTTACAGAGAGGAAGAGAGAGGGATAGAGAGAAACATTGATGAGAGAGAGACATCTGTCAGCTGCCTCTTGCACACCCTCTACCGGGTATGTGCCCGCAACCAAGGTACATGCCTTTGACCGGAATCGAACTTGAGACCTTTCAGTCCGCAGGCCGATGCGCTATCCACTGAGCCAAACTGGTTTCGGCTGTTTCTAAAAATTTTTTGTTAATCCTCACCTGAGTATATTTTCCCATTGATTTTTAGAGAAGTGGGGAGGGAAGGGGGAGAGACACAGAGAGAGAAACATCGATGAGAGAAAGACATTGATTGGTTGCCTCCCACATGAAGCCCTGACTAGGGCTGGGGATCAAGCCTGCAACCGAGGTGCATTGTTCTTGACTGGAATTGAACCCAGGACCCTCCAGTCTGTGGTCCAACACTCTTATCCACTGAGTCAAACCGCCTAGGGCAGAGGGAGGCAGTTTCGGTTCTTCCACCAGTGCCCTAGCCCCGTGAATATCCCTTCCCTGGTGGCCAGGCCTCCCAACATCCCCACCCAAGCCCTCTGGCAGAAGGCCCGGGATAGCCAGAGCCCGGGGCGGTTTGTTGGAGACAGTGCAACCTGCCCATACGAGACTTAGATATATTCTGCCAATTAGGGCACATCTGTTCCAAATGCTGAAAGGCGAGCACTGTCTCTTTAAGAGCCATCCCACTCCTCTCCTTGAGTGATGAGGGCTGGGCGCACGAGGGAGTCAGATGCTGATTAAACAGTCCTACTGCTGAGCTCTGTTAGAAAATTACTGTAATTATGATCTAGTCCCAGCAGAGGGACGAGTTCCAATCCTGCTAATAACCCTTCCAGGTGCCTCAGATGCAGGGCCCCTGGGAGGCCGCATCGACAGGGCTCTGGCTGGCACCAGGGCCAGCGACGGTCCTCCTGTCTGGCCCATCCAGGCGCAGACAACAAAAGCACCGGACCCCTCCTCTGAGCCTCCTGAGAAGGCGTGGGTTTTGGTTGTGTTGTGGTGGTTCTTTTGGTTCTTGACAGCTCATGGGAGTCATTTGTAGGAGAAAACTTTCCCCTAAACTAACATGGAGAGCCAGGAAAATCACCACCAGGAGATGCCAGTCTGTCCCGACTCCTCACTTCCGCCCGGGGACTGCGGCGAGCACCGCGCCAGGCCGCTCTGGCGGCGAAGGGAACAGAGCAGTCGCCCTGAGCTGCAGCTGCCTTCCGCGCTTGTTTCTACGGACCTGCGTTTCTTGCTCTGAAGTGTAGCACACAGCATTCCACTCGGTCCTGACCACGAGTGTCAGGGGTTTCTGCCCCTGGGAAGGGAAGCAGGGACAGTAAACAGAGCTGCTGAGAGTGGGGGTAATGCAGCGGCTTATTCATCTGAAAACACCATTTTTGTAGTGCGGATCTGCAGTGGTGAAGGCCAGCAGATCTCTAAGATGTTTGCGGAGCAGAGAAGCTTGATGGTGGTTCTTAGCCCCTGAGGAATCCATGGCATGTGTACCTGTCTTCCCAGCCTATCCCTGAGCTGCTGCCTGTTGCTCCAGCACAAACTCCTAAAAGGCAGGGCAGTTTCTCTGTGCTTGGTCCTAAGCATGCCCACATGCCCCGAGTCCGTGGTTCTCAGCCAGGCATGGTTTTGTTTTCAGAGGATATTTTTGTTTGTCAGAACTGGGTGGGGTATGGGAGGGAAGAGGAGGGGAGAAGTATTACTTGTGTCTAGTGTTTGGAGACCAGGGATGCTGCTGAACATACAATTACCTGGCCCAAAAAGTCAATTGTGTCAGCCGAACCCTGCACTAACAGAGTGAAGGAATAAGCTCCAAGTTTTGCCCTCTCTGTCCCCCAAACTTCCACTGCATTGCCTTGGAAATGTTATGAATAAATAAATAAATAAATAAATAATCTCCAAGCCCGGCGGTGTAGCTCAGCACCAAGAGGCCCTGGGTTCGAATCTGGTTGGGGCACATGCCAAGATTGCGGACTTGATCCCGTCAGGGGCATGAGGAGGCAGCTGATGGATGATGTTTCTTTTCATCCATGTTTCTATCTCTATTTCTCTCCCTCTCTCTCTAAAAAAAAACTAATAAAATATGCATTTTTAAAAAAAGCAATGATTGCCAAGCATGGAAACATACTGTCAAATCTCAGAGGGAAGGCTGGGAAGGTGGGTGGGCAGGCGGTAACCAACCAAAGACCTTGTGTGCATACATGCATAACCACAGACACAGACAACAGGGCAGTGAAGGCCTGGGGAGGGGAGAGGCTGGAGGGGGTCCGTGGGGAGAAAGGGGACATATGTAATACTTTCAACAATAAAGAATTGTTCTAAAAAAGAAATGATCGCCAATCCCCAGAGGCCTGGTGCTGTTCCAGAGTTGGGGATGGATTAGGACGGGCCCAACCAGGGTGCTCGCTGTAGGAGGCTTCCAGTAAATGTCGTGGTGTGCGTGTGCCCCCGGGTGACTCAAGGCAGAACAGGGCTGGACAAGTGTCTGATCGAGGGGGAAGGAAAGTGGGAAGAGTGCTTTCTGTTCCAGGATCAGATGTGGGGGACAGAAGTGGCCTGCCAGCTGCTCACCATCAGGCTGAGTGTGCAGTGCGGCCAGATGCCCC